ATACGGATCAGAGAATTCTTTTCAAGGAATGGGTTGATTATTTTGACTATACTTGTTACCCTAGTCCATTTTTTTCTTAACATAAAAATCTCTATTAAGCCATTTTAAGAACAATAGTACTCTCCAATTATCCAAAAAAAAAAAAAAAAACAATAGTACTCTCCATATATATATATATATATTTAAAGATTATATCACCAGCATTTTTTTAATTTTAAGGTTATTTTCAGTTTGATTCCAAAATTTATTAAAATTATTTATTAAAAACAAACAAAAAAATCACGTGACCACATTTAATTTTAACTTTTTCTACATGGTTTTAATAGGAATTCTAACCATTAAGAATATAAGTAGGATTATAATTCAAAATTTAAGAAGTAAATTACTTAGAATGACTCTAAAATTCAGAAAGCATTGGTGTGAATTTATTCAACTTGTACTTGTATTCAATTTTGAGGTCTATACAAGAAAGTGACATAACTAAATAATAGAGGACACCTTTTGGTTCGTTACACATTTCATGAAACTAAAAATATATACAATAAACGTTTCACACGACCATATGTGTTTGTATTCCCACGTAAAGCTATACTAATTTGAATTTGAGACGGTTTCTTCTCTTCCACAATGATTTTTTTTAATTGAAAAAAAAAAAAACAATATCGGTGATCTTTGATTAAATGTTTGTGTTGAATTGAATTGAATATTTCTATATCCTGTAAATTTCCAATTTAATTAGGAAACTTATGTCAACGATTGAGTCAATCACTGGGAAGTTTTTGTTTGAATATGGCACAAGAATTGTCTTAAAGAGCAAGGAAATAGGTTGTAGTCCTTTTCAATTGTTTTTCTTTTCTCCAGCCTCCCAAACCCCACCATAAACACACAAAGAAAAAGAAAGATACCAAAAATCATATTCTAAAAAAATACCAAAAAAATCCTTGATTATATTTCCCTCCCAACGATGGCCCAATCATATTATATAACTATTACTTTTTTTTTGTATAAATATTCTCAATAAGTTCACTATAGTTGCATCTTGCAGGCTTACACCAATTAATTACCACATTATGCAAAATCATAAAACTTGCAGGATTTGTACATAGGGAAGATGTTTGCAAATATTTTTATACCCCGCATTTTAAGGTTATCAAACAATTGTAACTCATATTTGTATTTTAGACAGTATCACATGTTTCATATTTAGATTTTAAGCTCAATTCTTACCTTTTCTCAGTCAATATTCAATTTTGACTATAAAAAATTCTAAATGCATTTTAAGAAAATAAGAAGAAGATAAAGAAAAAAAAAAGAAGAAAAGACTAAGAAGCCAAAATGTAAAGAATATTTAGATATTTTCATTAGTCAAAATAAACCTTTTACCAGAAAAAGTATGGATTTATCATGAATTTAATGTGAAGGTATATATATATATGATACAATTCAAAACATATTATACGCTTTTTGATACTCAAAATACAAGGTATAAAAATGAAAAAAACAATCCTTATATAAACCATGAAAGCGTATAGTGTAATTTATATATATATATATATATATATAAGTACTAGGTCACTTCTATAATTTTGAACTTTTACTAAAAAAAAAAAGAGTTAATTACATATATATGTCAATTTTTTAACGGATGAAAAAGGTATGTCTATAAGTTGTGATATTTGCACCTATAAATTAATCCGTAAAATAAATAAAGCTATATTAGAAATGATATTATATTAATAATTATAAACGCGACAGATTAATAATATTATTAAATTAAAGACATATTCTAAACACAGAGTTTAAAAATGATCATTAAATACCTAAAAAAAGAAAAGAATATAAAAGAAAAATCAAACCGTCTTTTTCATTCAACGTGTTCTTTCATCATCCCTTCCTTTTCTCCGTATCACCGAAGGCCCAATTGCATGTCCTATATTGCTTGTTATGTGAGATTTTCTAAAAAAGGCCAACAAATGATGGTGTTTTATTAGTGTTGAAAATCCGATAGTCTTGTAAAACACAAAAAACGTGTTTGGTGGTAAGAATTGGATAAAAAGAAAAAAGAAAGAAAAAAAATCTAGCGCCATTGCATCAAGGTTATTCACAGTCATTAACGATCACATATATATATATATATATATATATTTTTTTTTTTTTTAAAAAAAAAAAAAAAAAAAAATATAGTACCATTTTATTAGGGTTATTCACTATCATCAAAACTTCATTTCTCTTCAGAAACTTCACATGAATGACATGCCATGCCATGTCACTCGTTGTACACGTAGCAAAGGTAATTAATCATACCTATAATTATAAAAATAACAATCATTAGCAACAAAATAAACACCTTTAAATAGACATATATGTTTCTTGTGATGTTTAATATGACCTCTACTCGTTTTAGATCCAAATGAGAGAAAATGTAAGAGTAGACATTTCAACAAAAACTATGTGAATTTTTGGGACAATTATCCATTACAAATGTTATCCCAATTTGGTTTTAAAGTTAAGACTGATAGTCTTATTAGTCCATTAATCAACCATACTTCAAACGCGCAAGTTTCACCTTTTAAGGCCGGTAATCAGGGATAAAACAGTTCTTATCTTAGCAAGTTATTTAGAAAATAGTAATTATAAGTATATTTTTTTTTTTTACAAATTTGATTATTGCTTTGGTGTTCAGGAGTTTCCTAAACAGGCCAAAATTAGAATAATTGTTCTATTTGCCAGCCAACTTACAAGTCTATAAGCCACTTCTTTTTTTCTTTTTTCTTGCACATCATATCTATTATGATGGCGGTGAGATATTGGGTTCGAGTCACTCAATAATAGAGCATACAAATTCATGTAAGCTATTCGCATGTAGTATTCACACATGCGTCCGATGAAAAGCCACTTCTTTTTATTATAAAAAAAAAAAAAAAAAAAAAAAAAACACATTTCTCTCAATGGCACCAAAATAGAGAATACCATTTTGGAAAACTCAAAATACAGAATCAAGAAAAATTAGCTTGGCTAATCTACAACAATTTGGTAAAAAGAAAATAGAACTAGAAAAAAAAAAAGGCCAATCAGATTATTCTACACTGAATTAAAGCGCTCTACATATTTTCACTCTTCAAGAAAAAGTAAAACTGAGGTTATCTACTAGTTAAAACAGTTGATATAAATGCTTTATAAAATAAAGTTTTGGCTCCGTTCATTTCACTGATTCGAGTTTTACTATAGTAAAAAATTCTCAAAAACAGTTATATATAACTTTTTTGCTATAATAAAAAACTCTCACATAAAGTCACATATCAACTTAAATTAAAAACTCGAATTAACGAACTAAACGGGCCCTATGTTGATCAAGTTCATGCAGCAGCAAAATCATATTCGGCTAGCATGGCGTTTTCATTGTGGCATTACAAAAACATCGCACATTAGTCACTACCACTATTAAGAGTCAAATAAATAAGGAGAAGATCCAGGGAAGCCTAACGAAACTAAAAATGGGGCTTCTTTTGTTTCACTCTCCCTCGCTCTCTTCATCAGCTCCTCCTCCTTTCGCATCAACGGTGAAGGGATACTCCCGAAGGAGCCGTAAAATCGAGCTTCGCCTTTGACTTCCTTCGCAGAGAAACCGTTTCGATGGCAAGCAAAGAGTTGCTTTTGGTATTACCAACAAGACGTTACCGCCCTTCTTCTTCGGCTTTGGGATACCTGGGAGCATCCACAGGCCCGGCCTCCGTCCTCCCCTCGAGATCCCTCTCAAGAGTGCTTGCAGCCTAACAACTCTCCGGCCCTCGTGTTATGGCTCGCCTACACCTCCTATGTCATGTCAATGTTGGGTAAACGGTTGCAAAACCTTGCAACATCCAGCAACTGCATATCCGTCATCTAAAGCAGCTCCCGTCTCTCATCATCCTCCATCTCTACCAAATCGAACACCGTCACTATACCTTTTTCTTGACATCTCTTGGCCAACTCCTTTGTCAGGTGGGGGGAAGCAGTAGAAGCATGGAATCACACTCCCACATGCCTTGTGTCACCATTTGGCTAACGTCCATTGCAAGAAGAGCTTGGCTCAGCCAACCATTGCTAGAAATGAAATGAACCATTGCTCGTAAGATAGCCCGCTCGCAGAAAGGAGAACCTCTCATTGGTTAAGCACCAGGTTCCCGCCCACAGAATGCGTCAAGGATCGGGCTTGAAGTAGAGTGTTTGCTTTCACAGGAGGGTCCCACAATTCGGATTTTCAAAGAAGAATCTCTGGTGGTTAATTAGCGTTCAAACCACATCTTCCTCCCCTGGTCGTACCAGAAGCTATGCATACTTTGATGCTGAAGCTAGAATCTTGGAAGACAAGGAAGAAAGCTTGCTTCCAAATCATTCAGAGTATTTTCTACAAGCTCGGATAGGTGGTCAGAAAGATGCCCGTGGCTAACTCCATGAATATTGTATTAGTTGGGACTCTGCGTGACCCTCCTGTACATAAAAGTCCAAATAAGGTAATCCACAGCGTCTTGCTCATCCTAGTATAAGAACTCCTTGTACTACTGTTTACGAGGTGTGTGGCAAAGGATGACACATTTCCCGAATTATCTAGCAAAGGCCGACAGGCACGACCAATCATCCGCAGCAGATCAGTGACGGTAATCTGTGTGAACATTTTCCCCACCATCATGATACCGTGTTCCCATCACGGCCACCAAATTCGCCGACAATGGCACCCCTCAACACATCGAACTACTTACGAGAGACACTTGAATCTGTCCATCTTCAAAGAGCTGTGACACAACTTCTTGATCCAAACTAGATAGGCCCTCATGCAAGTAGCCAACCCAGTGACGTAAAGTGGCTTTCGATACTTCTTCATGGACCCCATCAATAAGCGGCACTCAGATCTTCCAATGACTACAACAGAAACGGGTCTTACACTAAATGGCAATAGAGCAGAGACTACCCTTTTGGAAAACTCAAAATAAGGAATCAGACACACAACTCAGTTATTCACATACTAAAAACGGTTAATCTACAATAATTTGGGAGAAAGAAAAAGAAAAGTCCAATCAGATTATTCCACACTTACTAAAGCGCTTTACCGCTATCTACATATTTCACTCTTAAAGAAAAAGTAAAACCAAGGTTATCTACTAGTTAAGCAGTTGGTGCAAATGGTTTACAATCAAGAGTCATCTTTGTTGATCAAGTATCAAGTTCCAGAAGCAACATCATTCCTGAACTGTTCTCCCAGGAGAAGGGCAAGCCTAGATTTGTACCTCGCGATTCGTTTCTGCCGCACTTCTCGTAATCTACAATGGAACCCAAAATAATAGCAAGATCAAAATTTCAACTGTCATCAGACAAAAGCTACTGTTTTTTTACTATTTAGATGAGCCAACGACACTGTAATTTTCCCATCTATATATATCGAAGGAAAAAGGAACCAAAAAAAGCTACAAGAAAGTGGACATATTATGGGATCAAAACATGCCATTTTGGTTTTTGAATTCTAAATGCCGAATCCATTCTTTTCATAGATTTGAATCACAATTCAAACTCTTTACTATATTGTTTTCTCTCATAAAAATATGAATTTACATTCAAAATTTCTATTCAAACTTTAAAAAGAACACCCCTGAGGTTTCGTAATACTTTGAAAAGGATGGTGCGACAAAATATGTAACTAAAGAAGTTCCTGACAATTTAAACCAACAGATGATGTTTTCTGTGTGAGCAAGGCAATTTCTGTATACTATATATATATATATATATATATTTTTTTTTTTTTTCCTCGTCTTTTTTCAGATTTCAACTATGCCCCCACTAAATAGCAAACAAATTATAACTTCGATCTTATTCAATAACAAAAATTATTACCAACCCCCATGCAATTAAAGCAAGGCCCGGCACAACGAACACAATATTAAGATCTATAAAAGTTATAAGCCTTTTGAAGCCAAACTTTATTCAATCAATCATACCCAATTGTAGATTTCATCCACTTAGAGGAAAATAAAATATAAACCGGGGAAAAAAAAAAACAGACGGTGAAAAAACAAAAATTCAATTGTGCCTCCACTGAAAAAAAAAAAAGACAGACTTCCTTTCAAAAAAAAAAAAGACAAACTCAGCCACTAAATCTTAGGCAGGTGCAAGCAGCATAAATTTACGTCTTATGTATCACCATATATTTGAGCATTCACGAATGCTTAGCCTAGTACTCTCAAAGCTAACTTGTTCGACTAATCTGAAAATACTTTCACAATAGTTGGAATAATAATTGCCAAGAACATAATAAAGGAAAAGAATCACAACTACAAGAATAAAATTGGTAATGAACAATGGAAAGCGTGAGATAAAAAAAAAAAAAAAAAAGACGCCGCAACTAAAACTTACCGTGCTCGAACCTTTTTGGCGCGTTTCAAATGTCTTTTAAACAGATCCTCAGCACTCAGATTCTTGACAGATTCCTCGTCCTAAAGAAAAATAACAAGCCAAAACTTAGAACAGATCAGTCTCCTGTACAGGACAGCATTAATTTTCACTAATGAAAATATGTACAATTGTTTTTTGACAGTATACATATCCCACATTATGCACACAAAATTATGCACATGTCTGTATGTTTCGAATCCCATCTCATCATATATCTAATCCTGAAAGTTAGCCAAGCTGCCTAATCAGGCCAAAATAAAACCAAGAAACCAACCTCCTCATCACCATCATTGTCGTCTTCTTCACCTTCCTTCTTTTGCTCATTGTTGGTTGCCATCGGAATGGGCAAAGGTCTGGGCAGGGACATCACAGCATCACCATATTGTTTCTGGCAACAAAATAAGATTCATGAAGCATTACGAAAACAGATGGGAAAAAAAAGGGAAAAGCTAAGATTTATACAAGTCTCCACTCTCCAGTACAATATCAAGATCCAACTCCTGATGCCAAAAAAGGAAGCGGAGGACAGTAGCAACTTGTTACAAACTAGACTTTCAACTGCATTGCCATCTAAATTTTTCAAACAAGCTTTATAAAAGCACCTGGTGCTAAAGCCAACAGTTTCGCAACAAGACTACCAAACAATCAGATTATATTATTGGGGTTTTGTTGAAACTTTAAAACTCCACCACTAACTTAGCAGAGGAATTCCACTTTTTTTGCGACCTAGACTAGAAACCTATGATGAATGCCCTTTATATAGAAAGAGCAAGATTCACTTAACCCTAAGTTGATTAATTCAAATAACTTTACTCGGATACTATACGCCCAAATGCACAAGGAACTTGCTGTTATCCTATTCAACACAAACCTGACTTTCTTCAGAAAAACCATTCCTTAACCACGATTGACAAAGCGCATAGAGGGAGGCGTCCTCAGTAATTCTAACCTGCAAACACAAGTAAAAGTAATTAATAGCAACAATTAAGACTAATCAACAACAAAATTTATTAATTGTTCAGTATAACGAAAAAAGGATACAAAGTGACTATTTAGAAATAAAAATAACAATAGTCTTTTGCAGACACTCCAAGTGTCCAATGTTCTTTCTTATCATGAACTAGTAGGCTTTATTATCTCATAAATCCGTAACAGAAATAAGGGATGGATAGTAATTGCTTGAGCGAAAGACAGTTATGCATTGAGAAATTTACCGGGAAATGCTATTGTTAAGGAGTTAGAATTGCGAAGATTTTGAAACATTGTGTAATAGTGTTTGGAACCTATTTGCAGAGTAGTCGCTCCTGTGGCATATTTTCACATAATTCGCCTCATCGCAGAAACAGACTATTTACAGTTTCTTACCTGTCCCAGCCTACCTTTATGGACAGAAACTCAAGAGTGTTGCACAAAACAGTTATTACAATACCTGTTTTCTATATTTTCTTTATAAGAAACAGGTAATTTTATAACTGAACAGCTAAGGACAACAAGAACGTGAACTAGACCTCCACCAGATAATTTTTTATTGTTTGTTTCTAGCAGAAGACAAACAAGGGTGGGTTTACACTTTTAGTACGGGAGAGATTTAATTTGCATAAATCTTCTATTATCTCGTAATTTATTCCGTTGTTACTCTAAATATGGTAGTAAGAAAAGATGCAAAGAGAGTGTATTTGACTTCCATTTTCCTAACAAACATATTCAACCCAAAAAATGTATCAACATCATTTTTCAGTAAGGAATGAGGTTATAGCCTTTCCAGAATATCTTAAATAATGCATTCCATTACACATTACTAAGCATTTATAGAAAAAGACTCTGAGTGCAGATAAATGTCGTTTGCTTACTTTTCGGTCTCTGACAATAGTTAAAGAATCATCTCTAACTTTGTCCCTACATAAGAGGGTAAAAAAACTGTAAATGTCGTTGAATAAGAAAAATATACTTCAGTAAGGGAAAAAAAAAACCCAAAAAAAAAAGAGGTATAAGTATTACCTCATATCTTTATAGCCATTACAGTCGGGAACAGACGGCGAAGGAGGTACCTGGATCATGGAGAAAACAATACGATAAACAGATAATGAAAATAAAAACTCCAAATGTTACATTCAGATGAAAATAGAAGAAAAATTTTGACACATATAAAAAAGACTAGAAAGCAAATAAACATTGGCCAAAAGAGCATACTCTATTACATTTCCAATACAAAATGAACCCAAAATATGTTCTAACTGTTGGTATCAGAGCGGGAGGTCCTGAGTTCAAACCCCCGTAATTGCACTCTTTATCCCCATTTAAATTGTCATCACGTGTTGGGTCTTTAATATATTTCGGGCTTAAATATTCACGTGTTGGGCTTTCCAATTAATTTACCCACACGATTGCCCATTGTCCAGCTCACATGTGAGGGGGAGTGTTAAAGTATAAAACTATTGTTGGCCCACCTCCCAACAGTTTAAGCTTTTGAGATGGATTGGTAAACTAACACTAACTTCTAAGACATGTTCAATTACAAAATCTAACAAATTGCACACCTACAAAAACTTTTCACACACAAAAAAACGATTTTGCAAATCAGAAATGTAATAAAGCATCACTCTGATAATGCTAATTAAGGCTCAGATACAAATTTATAATCCAAATACAACACTGAAAGAACAAGAATCAATAACAAACAATCAGCCAACACATTTGATGAAGATTTCAAACCTTTTTTCTTCCCGGTTCGAATCGATAAGCACCCATCCGGCTAGTTCCGGATTCCTTTCGATATGCTCATAAGTACATTGCTTCTACTTCTACTAAAGTAAGTGCAATTTTTCTTTTTAAAAGCATAAGAATTCCAAATTCAGCCTAGCATTACTCTCTCTCTCTCTGTTTTCTTTTTTTTTTTATATTTTTTTTTATTTTTTTATTTTAACAAAATGGAACACAAATAAGCCTAGAATTCTTCAATTGTAAACCAAATTATTCAAATTCAAACACAAAGAAGCAAATATCTAACCAAAGAACAAAAAGTATTAAACAAAAAAAAAAAAAAATAGAACCTTTGGTTGCAATTGGATAGAAACCGGAACACCCTTAACTGGGCCAGCAACAAGATGAGGCTGCTGCTGATGATGATGATAATGATGAATATGTTGGATCGGCCTCACCACGTAATTCGCCGCGGGCCGAGGCCGGTAACCGGAGGGGTTGGGACTGGCGACGGTGACGGTCTGATCGGCGCCGGCGGCGGGGGACGAGGAGGAGGACTTGGGAAGGGAGATGAAGCCGCGGCCGGAGGAGACGACCGGGTACGGAATTCCCTGGGGCGGCGCAGAGACTGAGGCAGAGGCGGGGATGTAGTTGCGGTGTGGTGGGAGAGGGCGAATGTTGGCGGCGAAGAGCTCGGGCGGAAGACGGGGGATATGTTGGGTCTGAGGAGAGATGGTTGTTGTAGTTGTGGTTGTGGGTCTTGGTGGGGCTCGCTGAACTGGGTTTGTGGTTGCGGTGGGGGTGGCGGCGGCGGCGGAAGAGGAGGAGTTGCAATCGATGGCCATGGCGGTGGCGGGGAATTTTGAAGTGGTTTTTGTGTTTGGTGGTTTTTTTTTTGAAAAATCAAAAATTAAATGAGAGTGGTGGCTAGGGCCTAGGTGGGTGGGGGTAAAGTTGGAGTAGTACTTGATGGAAAATAAAAATTAGAGATGTAAGTTTGGATTGGGTTAAATTAGTCCGTTTAAATGTCATAATTATTGATTTGTGTTTGATCTAATTTGATTTTAAATTTTTTGAGTTTAAAGCTGGGTTAGACCGTTTCTCTATCCGGTTTGAAATTTTTCTTCCGGACCGGACGGCTTAAATTTATACTTCTATTAATTTATTTTTTATTTTGATAATAAAACTTCTTTTTATAGAATAATAAGAGTCCGTTTAGTTCGTTGATTCGAATTTTTAATTCGAGTTAAGATGTGATTTTATGTGAAAATTTTTTATTGTAACAAAAAAAGTTAAATATGATTGTTTTTTAGAGCTTTTTACTGTAATAAAATTTAAATTTTAAACTCAAATCGGTGAAATAAATGGGTATAAAACTTTTTTTACCTCTATACTTCTCTTTATTTACTATTTTTAGATTAATCTCTTATTTACTCTTTAAATCATAGTCATTCCCGGTTTATTTTCCGAAGTATATTTCACTTTACTACTGTAGACTTTTTTCTTTTTGTTAAAAAGCAACATAGAAAGACAGAAAAAGAAGAGGTCGAATGTTGGTCCTCAAATTTTTAAACAAATTAAAATTTAGTCCATATTCTTTTTAAATAGTTGACCACATATGACCTTCAAATTGTTTGAATGTTGACAAATTTTTTTTTTCTTTTTGAGGACAATGAATGTTGACAATTTAACATAAATACGTTAAATTTTGGGGGACACATACGTTAAACAACGTGGGGTTCGTTTCACCAAAGAGTTCAAGGATCTAAAAAAGTAGCAACTGATTTTCCTGGAAAATTCTTTGCTTCCGTTCAACTCGAGACATTTTTGGAGCTCAAAATTGGAAGCTTGCATCAAACCCACATCATGATTTTTGTCGATGGAGCTCCTTTTGATTTCAACTCTTCATCTTCGGAGGTACACTTGCTCTCTCTCTCTCTCTCTCTCTCTATATATATATATATATATATACATACATACGTGTGTATATATATCCATCCCAATAGTTCACACACTTCACAGACACCAAAACCCAATTTCCATTTCCGTCTAATTCATCTAAAAACCGTCTCTTTGATTCATTGGAAGTGGCCTAAGTGGGGAAGGAGGTATTAGAAATTAAACTAAAAAGACAAGATTTTAAAGTTTAAATTCTCGCCTAAACTGTTTGGAGTTTTGAGTTTTGTTTATTGATATCATTAGAGGAGTTTTGGGTTGATTATGAATATGGTGGAAGGTATTTTTTTTTACAGTTCTTTGCAAGTATCTCATTTTTCAAGTTTAGGCTAGAATTTCTTCTTCTAGAATATACATGTTATTAAAAGGTGATGATGACATTTACATACATACATACATATATATATATATATATATATATATCATACATATATACATGTATGTATGGATCAAAACCTATTTCAAATATTGAAAATTTGTCCCTTTTTGCTCATTAAGAACATATATACATATTTTTTTGGTCTCCATTATTAGACCAAATTACTGTGGTTTTTTATTCCCTCCCTCCCTAATGGGTTGTACACACATTAGGATTATTGATCATTACAGATGTGGCATTCTTGTCTGCAAACATTTCTTGGTACATGATTTGGTGTCAATAGTGCCAAGTTTGGAGTGTTGAATGGCTTTGCGAAATTGTGGTAGAAACAAGCGAAGACTTGTCCCTAGGACACATAACGTACTAATAGTAGAATGTAGGAGGTGCCAAGTTTTTTGGAAATGAATTGACGAGTGTATGAACTTCATTTGTCATATTACATTTGATGCCTCATAAACGGCGTCGAAGATGGGCATGACATTTCATATTACACATCAAAGTTTGATAGAATTTCTATTTCTATAGTTGTATAAAGTGGATAAGTGACAGATGATGGAACTGTACTCATGGACAGAAAATTTTATTTGCTTTGATGGAGCACCCTTCACTGGTATCTGCTTCAAAGGCGTTCAAGGCTATTCCAGAAAGGAAGTTCTCACTTGCTGAAGAGTCTGGCACAGAAAGACCAGAAAAAAGTAAATGGGTCTATTTGTTCCAAAGAGAATATGCAACTGTTGATCCTGCACTGGTGGATGTATGTCTATTTTCTTCTTTTATCGGGAATTAGATAATTGCAAACTTCTGATATCTTCGGTTATACAGGCGTTTTAATTATTGCGTAAATAGCATATGGTGTCATTCCAACGAGTGAATCTTTCTTTAACTGTATCAGCTGTTTTTATATGTGGTATTAGGCAACAAGAACACTAGCCTTTTCTTTTAACCATCTTTAAGGGGATAATGGTAGCATGAGCAGGTGCCATAAAAAATCTATCAGTAGAAGTCTATAGTTCTATCATCTACGCATTCTATGCATTGCCTTGTTATTGGATGCTTATTCATTACCTTTAATGTGAAGATTAAGAATATGAATATCTTTCTTTTTTCTGGTTTGCTTTTTTCTTTTCATGTTAAATTAGCGCTTACAATCTGACCCGTGACGAGTTCATTTGAATTGGGTAGCTATTTTTATAATGTGGTTGGTTGACACAGCAAAAATTGGTAGAAGGCAGCACTTCACATTCTAACTTAGCTTCTAAATTAACTTTGAATTCCTGTTTTTCTGATTTGACTCCCCCCCACCCCTTTTAACTTTGAATTCCTGTTTTTCTGATTTGCCCCCCCCCCCCCCCTTTTTTTTTTTTTTTTTTTGCCTTTCATTACTTCCCCCATGCAAAGTTTGTCGGAACTGATGAAGCAACTACCTGCGTGGGCTTTGCTATTAGAGATCGAAAAAATGGAATGTAAGATGTTTCTTGGAAAGCCATTTCTCATGATGTTGATAAGTAAATCAAACTTTCCCTTTTTTTGACGTTCCCAGTTATATTTATTAACTACAGGGTCTCAGTTGCACATATGGATTCTCCCAATGTTGTGGACAAGGGCCTCAACCAGATGCTTTCGACATTTGTTCATCAGAGTTTTGATGATGACCTCGACGTATTTTGCTTTTATTTTGAAGAACTTTGATTGACTTATGTCGTTACTTGATGGATTGATTAGCCTGCATGTCTGAATGCAGGTGCATGTGATTGGTGCTTTTGAAGATTCTTCCTCTAAAGTCTGGGCCAGGATCCTCTATTTTGTATTGGTTTTTGCAACGAAACTGTTATCCACACAAAGACAGAATAACCTAATTTGAATATGTTGAACTTTATGCAGCATGATAGCTCTAGCTCTAGCTCTGAAAGTGATGTGAGATTGAATGGTTACTCCCTTCCATTGTGTACCAAAATTATTAAAAGTTTGAGGAAGAGAACTGAGAAATTCCACCTTCAAACTCTCTTTGTTCTTGCGCGTAACACTTGGAGAGATTCCGAAGAGAATGCACATCCCATTTTCAGTGGTTTTGTGGTCAGTTCTGTTTCATGAGTTATTCTTCCTTTTAGTTGCCATTGTTTTTCCTCATTTAGAATGTATGACCTTGTTGTTTTTTGATAAATAGAGTTCATTTATAATCCATGCATGCTAAAATATTATCTGAAAATATTTGGGTTCTTTTTAATTTTGGGGTATTTAGGATTCAAAGTATCTGAGGACGTTAAAGTATACAACTTCTCGTGGAAATACTCATAGTAACCTTCTATCACAAGGTTGATTCATATATCAACAAAAGGAGTTTTTCTTATTGAAAAAGCAAACCTTCTGTCACATGATCCGATGTTTTACAAAAACCATAGGTTAGCCCCGGCCTGCCTACCTACCATCAAAACAACTGTATTTGCCTTCGAGAAGTCAAAAGATAAGTGGTTTTCATACTTGGCGCTCGACTCTTTAAGCTATATGTTCCAGGTTCTTGTGCAAATAATCAGCGTTTAGCATCAGTCCTCATGGCCATAGGAGCTCTAGTATGACCTTAGGTTCTTTCTAAGATTTGATTTTATAGGTTCTAAGGAAGTATTCTTTTGGATGCATTTCATAGTACGATTGATTGGCCTCGTAGGCTTAGTTGAAGATTTGCTCTTGGAAGAAGTTCTACTTGTACTTATATCAAAATGAGAAGTAGAAGCAGAAGTCAAAAGTTAATGTCTGCACGCAAACTACCTTTGTCTTTTACCAAATACGTTACTTGGATCGTGTTTGTGCATAGGAGACTTTTGGGGCCTCCAAAAGCACTACCCAACTGGTCTTTAAGGCCCACCATATAACTTAAAAGGCATGCAGTGCTAGCTTGTTGTAGTATTGTACTCTTTCATAAGTTCAAACTAAACGAGCCAACCCCATTTCTAATATACATGCTTGTCATCGTCAAGATGCACTTTATCAAATACAAGAGGCGCTTGGCTTTAATCTTAATTTTAGATGGCCTTTTGTGAAGAAGAGTGATGCATGGAGCAGATCTATGAATATTTGGCATGTAATAAAGGTCATGTTATTATTATAGTTGGATAAGTGGATTAGCTGAGTGATTGAGGCCGCCCAGTCATTTGCTGTCCCATTCATACATGGTAACCACAAGTTTGGTGTTCAAGGGTTGATCTAGTTCTTAACTTGAGCCTTGGAAGCGGTATTGAGGGCCTCTGTATAGTATTAGAGGCACAAATCAGGGAATTCATTTTCACTTGACAAATTATTATTACTATTAATTATTATGATTGTTATTATTTTGTTCTAATCACTTTTAGGAAATGATGATCTAGTCTTTTTTTTTATTTTTTTATTTTTTTCTTTCTTTCTTTTTTTTGGTGCGGTTGAAGCCCTTAGAAAAATTGTAAAGAAATGTTTACTTTTGCGTTTAATTCAGGTAGAAACTTCAACTGGATCAGTCATCCCAGCAAGATTTGACAACACTTCAAGATGTCCTGATGAAATGATCAGGAGAATTCGAGCATCCGCGGCGTATGAGGACCGTAAATGGGATGGCAAGTTGCTGGAAACATATGATACTCAGACTGATACATTCAAAATTGCTCCATGCCGCTGGTAAGTTTCACATTGTTTATTCAGTTTTTTGCGTTTACAAATATATATGATGTGGGACCCATAGTAAATGGACAGAGAAGAAAGGGGGGAAGAAGAGAAGAATTAGAAAGAGAAATTTTGAGGAATATTGACAGTAGGAAAGGAGTAGGAAAGTAAATACATCATCTCTTTCCATTTTTCGACATAGTACGGTTGTGTAATGTAATGTCTCCGGCAACGTGTTTTCTCTAATACAGTACAGAGAACAGTCAATTTTGCTTCTTTATACACTGAAATAAAGTCCAGCGTATTGGTTCCAGGTTTTGGGTTAGGAGTCTTTTTATTCTTTGTGGTTCACTTTTGTACATGCAGGAGTACAGAAAATCAAGAACGGATTGCTAGGTTTCTGAGAGCTCAATCCGATTCGTATATACTACTTAATTGTTCTACTTCCCCTTTTGCTGAGGCTCCAGACTTTGTACAAAATGAAAGAAAGTAAGGACATTTAAGATATACTGCTCGAATTTACGGTTCCATACTCAGTTAAGCAATTTTTAGGACAAAATACATTCCTATAGGGTGTTTCACAATTTTGCCCACTGAACCTGTAATTAAATTGGCAAGATGCTCCCAGAACTTTAGATCGTTGCAAATTACCACCTGAATTAACGAAGAAGTTTCGCATAGTGCACCAAAATTGATTAACAATTTAAAATTTAGAAGGAAATACCCTTGTGCACGTGATATGATGTGTTCCAATTGGCATTCAAAAATATTTCATTCAAACGAGCTCGAATGACGTGTACAAGGGCGTTTCCATCTAAATTTTAACAACAGTAATCAATTTGGAGGCACTTTACATTACTTTCTTAAATTCAGGGATAGTAGTATTATGCCAAATTAAAAGTTCGGGAGATAACTTGCCAATCGTGAAAAGTTCAAGGCGGCAGACATGCCAAATACCCTATAACAAAATTGGCTTTTGTTCAATTTGTTATTGATTAGTCTTTGCCTCCTTTCCTTGTTCAGAAAGTGGGACTACTTGATTGAAAACCCAGACTGGAGAAAAGCATTTCCGATGGAGCAGCCTCATGTTTTCGAGAGAACTGGGGATGGAGGCTGGACAAGGTGCTAATCAACATCACAATCTTTTTTTAGCGCGCACATAATATTTCACTGCTCAACACCATCTCAATCTTTTCTTTTGCACTAAATGAACACAACTTAACACCATTTAGTGCTTATTAATCTGCATTTGGAAGTGCTTCTGCTCAGATCAACACATCTAGTTTCTTCTACAAGATGAGCTCAATGCGCGAACGATCTTGTCATTTGTGCTAGAGTGGAGGTGCTAATGCATGTGAAGGTACAAGACAAGGTGACGTTTCATTGGAAAATTCTGTAATGCTTGCTGCCATAATTCCTTTCTCTATATTTTGTCGACAAAGTGGCCATGACCTCGCCAATCGAGTTCCTGGTTTGGTTATAACAGCAGATTTCAGTCTTATGTATTCTCTGATAGTAATGCTGCATCCACATTCATTTCAAAATTGTCCACACACTTGGGTGTTTGCGTTTATTCACAGTGGCAAAGTTAGAACTTTTTTTTTTTCCCCAGTGGGAATACTATAAAAAAAATCAGAATTTGTTATAAAACTAAGAGATATGATATTGACAGAAAGATATTAGAGTTAAAAATATAAGATAAAACACACAAGGAGAACAAGTCTTTTCTTTGTTTCTGTACGTGAACTTTTCTATATTGTACATACATTTTGTGTTCGACGTCACTGAACTGAAGTTACTATGCAACGAAATACAAGTTACTGTGCATGCACAGTAAATTTAGTGGACAGCCACAAAGTTGGACTTTACAACACTCCCCTCTGGATATCCACCTCTTATGATGCCTCATTAAAAACCTTGTTAAGAAAAACTCAGTGGGATAAAAGCCATATCAAAGGAAAAAAGAGTACATCATTACTATATACGTGTTTTATGTTGCATCGTTAAAAACCTTACATCATTACTATATACGTGTTTTATGTTGCCTCGTTAAAACTTTACTTGAAAAACTCAGTAGGATAAAACCATAGTAAGGAAAAAGAGTACAGCCACGTAAACTCCCCTTCAATTTGACATGTATATGCTTTTTGAACGCTGTAGTGGGAAGTGCTTTTATGAAAAGACCTGGTGCATTGTCACTCGATCAAATGTAGTGAATATTAATATCTTTATGCTTTTCAAGCTTTTATGAGTATGAGAAGAACTTCGGGAGTATGTGTTTGGTTCTGTCATTTTTTACGTAACCTTTATCTGAACGACACATGTTGCATTGTCTTTTAATAATATTGTTGGATCTTTACTTATAGATAGTCCGTAATTTTCTTAGATATGTTGTGTCATAGACCTCAATTATACACATTCTCGACTTGGTTCTTGGAACAAAATTTTCCATAAATGATACTATATCTTCACCAAAGTCCAAAAGACATTTGTTGAGTTTCAAAGCATATATCTTCATGGATATGATACACATTTGAAACTGAAGGGAATAAAAAATACATGTATTTAACTACTAACGTATCAGGAAAGAAGTACATATTAGAAAAACTTCTAAAACTCTCTTCAGGATTACATTACACATATATAAATGTGATAGAGTCATACATGGTAGTTAAAGAAGATTCTCAAATATTAACCTTATGGCATGACTGTTTAGGTTATCTTGGTTCAACAATGATGCGAAGAATCGTAGAAAGTTCACATCGATATCCATTAAAAAGGCAGCAGATCTTTCAAATGAATAAAGTTTCATGTGAAGCTTGTTCTCTTGGTAAACTGATCATAAGACCTTCACCAGCTAAAATAGAAATAGAATCATCTACATTTCTTGAACGTATTAAAGGTGACATATGTGGACCTACACACCCAATGTGCTGACTATTCCGATACTTTATGGCATTAATAAATGCATCCAGTAGATGGTCACATGTTTGGTTATCAACTCGGATTGTGATATTTGCGAGATTTCTTGCTCAGATAATTAAATTACAAGCACAATTTTCTAATCAAGAATGTTTGACTTGATAATTATGGTGAAGTCACATCGCAATCATGTAATGACTATTGTATGCCCATTGGAATTATTGTCGAACATCTTGTTACTCATGTGCTTACACAAAATAGTTTGGCTAAATCATTAATTAAATGCTTCTAGCTTATTGATGAGAACAAAACTACCTATTTCTGTATGAGGTCATGCAATTTTACATGCTGCGGCATTAATTCGCTTCAGACCAAGTGCTTATAATAAGTACTCTTCTTTGCCATTGGCATTTGATCAAGAATCAAATATCTCCCATCTAAAAAGTTTTAGTTGTGCGGTATATGTATCAATTGCTCCACCACAACGCACAAAGATGAGTCCTCAAAGAAGATTGGGAATATATGTTGGCTACAAATCTCCTTTTATCATTAGATATCTTGAGCCTCAAAATGGCGATGTTTTTACTACACGTTTTGCCGATTGTCATTTTTATGAGGCAGTCTTCTGAATATTAGGGGAAGAAAATAAACAACTGAAAAAGAAAATTACATAGTGTGAACCGTCATTGTTGCATCTTGATCCTTGCACAAAACAATGTGAACTAGAAGTGTAAGAGATTATACACTTACAAAATTTAGCAAATTAATTACTAGATGTGTTCATTGATACAAAAAGAGTGACTAAATCATATATACCAGTTGTGTTCGGATTGAAATCCCAAAAGGATAATTTGAGAATGAAGTCACTAATATGTCTAAAACACGCCTAAAACGTGGTAAATCTATCAGTTTCAAAGATAAAAATCCTCAGAAAAAGAGAGCAAATGAATATAATGACCCCAATTTGGAGGATAGTGTTTAAGGAGAAACATAAAATAATACAAACAAAGAAATTCTTAATTTGTAGAAAGTTCTGAAGGTTTTGAGAATATGCGATCTCTATTGACTATATGAATACAGTAGGATTATGGAATCGAAATGAAATGAAAAATATTGATGAAATATTTTCTTACTTTGTGGCATGTGAAATTATTAAGGGAATTGAGGATCCTGAATCAAGATCCGTTTTTGAATGCCAAAATATACACGATTAGATCCAATAGAAAGATGCTATGCAGGCTGAGTTAAATTCACTTAGTAAGCGTAAAGTTTTTAGACCTATTGTTTTAACGCTTGAAGTCGTGAGACCTGTGGGATACAAATGGGTTTTTATGCAAAAATGTAATGAGAAAAATAAAATTGTAAGGTATAAAGCTCGACTTGTTGCAAAAGGTTTTTCAGAAATACACGGGATTGATTATGAGGAAACGTATTCTCCTGTAATCGATGCAATTACGTTCAAATATTTACAATTTTTGAAAATTAAGAGATTCGTCTTATGGATGTTGTTACAATTTATTTATACGGATCGCTTGATAGTGATATTTATATGAAAATTCCTGATGGATTTAAGATGTCTAAAGCACTAAATTCAAAACCTAACGATATCGATTAAGTTACAAAAATCATTGTATGGGTTAAAACAATCCGGATGCATATTGTATAATCACTTAAGCGAATATTTGTCAAAATGAGAATATGTGAATAATCTCATATGCCCATGTGTTTTTATTAAGAGAACAAATCTGGTTTTGTTATAATCGCTGTCTATGTCAATGATTTGAACATCATTGGGACTTATAAAGAAATGCAAGAAGCTGTGATATACTTAAAGGATGAATTTGTATTGAAAGACCTTGGACAAATGAAATATTGTCTTGGTTTACGGATTGAGCACCTTTAAAGTGGAATAATTGTGCATCAATCAAACTATACTAAAAAAGTCCTCAAACGCTTTAACATAGATAAAGCAAACCCTTTAGTACTCCAATGGTTGTTAGATCACTTAATGTTGAAAAGGATCCATTTTGCCCTTGCGAAGGTAATGAAGAAATCCTCAATCTTGATATACCATATCTAAGTGCAATAGGAGCTCTTATGTATCTTGCTAATTGTATCCGACTAGATATAGCTTTTGTTAACTAATCTATTAACAAGATTTAGCTCCTAAACGAAGACATTGAAATGGAATTAAGCATGTATTTTGTTATCTTTAAGGAACACTTGATTTAGGATTATTTTATCCTAAATGATCAAAACAAGGAATGATTGGTTTTGCAGATGCAAGATATTTGTTAGATCCACATAAAGTTAGGTCTCAAACTGGATACGTGTTCATGTGGAGGTACTGCTATTTCATGGCGTTCACAAAAGCAAACACTTGTTGCCGCTTCTTCAAATCATGCCGAAATTATTGCACTCCATGAACCAAGTCGAGAATATGTATGGCTAAGGTCTATGACACAACATATCTAAGAAACTTGCGGACTATCTATTAGTAAAGATCCAACAGTATTATTTGAAAACAATGCCGCATGTGTCGCTCAGATAAAGGAAGGTTACATAAAAAGTGACAGAACCAAACACATAACCCCGAAGTTCTTCTCATACTCCCAAGAGCTCGAAAAGAATAAGAGTATTGATATTCAATACATTCGATCGAGTGACAATGCAGTATATCTTTTCACAAAGACACTTCCCACTACGACATTCAAAAAGCATATCTACAGTATTGGGATGTGTCATCTGTGAGATTTGTGAGGAAGGCCTATACATGTCAACTTAAGGGGGAGTTTACGTGGCTGTACTCTTTTCTCTTATGGTTTTATCCCACTGGGTTTTTTTAGTAAGGTTTTTAAAACACGTATACAGTAATGATATACTCTTTTTCCTTTTGATATGGTTTTTATCCTAATGGGTTTCTCCTAGCAAGGTTTTTAGTAAGGCATCATAAGAGGTGGACATCCAAGAGGGAGTGTTGTAAAAGTCCAACTTTGTGGATGTCCACTAAATTCACTGTGCATGCACAATAACTCATGTATTTTCTTTTAAAATTTACGATGAACGTGTTAGATGAACATTGTTGCATAGTAACTTCATTTCATTATAAATAGAGACGCCGAACTTGAAATGTATGTACAATATAGAAAATAATTTCACGTAAAGAAACAAAAAAAAACGTGTTCTCTCTGTGTGTTTTATCTTATATTTTTAACTCTGATATCTTTATGTCAGTACCATATATCTTAATTTTATAACAATAGTTTATTTTTTGTTATTATTTAGTGGGAACACAAGTATAATTTTGTCTATGAGCAGGGGCATAACTGGAACTTTATAAGAAATTTAGGCATAAAAATTAGATTTTCAAAATTTGAGAGGGGGCAAAAAAATCTTTGCAGGCAGGACATTGCAAAACATATGTTCGAGACTAATTTGAAAAACCATGACTTCGAAATATCACTTTGTATCTTTGCAGTTGCAGCTGGAACATGTTAAAGGAATTTAGTTAAAATATCACTTTTGATCCTTTTATTATACAAATTATCTAGAATATAAAATCAGTGAAAAAATACCCTTGGGCTTCAGTTCTATTTACCATTCTCATTTTTTCTTTTATTTTTTTTTTAAATTTTAAAAGGCAAGAGTACCCTGTGGGCAAGTAGACAATCCCAAATGGGGCTCCATTATACCATATATCAAACCTTATTTTGTTCCATCATCTGATGGTGCAGATGAAGGTCAACATTTGCCATATAATTCTCAAGAAACCTGCTAAACCTTCTCAGGTTGAATCGAGTTCTCTAATAATGTGTCGGTCCCACCTAATAGATCCCACTATGTGGGGCCCACAATTTGTGAGAGAATCATGTCGTTAATTTTACTTTAAAACACCATTTACTGGTAAATTGAAAAATTACAAATTACAAATTCTACCTCATTAAGTACATGACTCACTAAGAGTATTCATTTTAAAAACTCTATCCTTTTAACTAATTTTAATTTAAAAGGTGAAAATATATGAACTAATATTAAAAGGATAAAAATATAGAAAACTCCATTTCAGGAGGTATTTTGAAAATTGCCCATGGGAAAAATATAAGTTAGTACTCTAGTTTGATTTAATGCTTCTACTGTAGAAAGAGTATTGCAAAATATTTTCCACATATTTTGAGATGACAAAAATCAATGTTCGAAAATTTTACACATAACGATCTTTTTTTTTTTTTTTTTTCGAGAATCAAATGATTAATTGTAAGTGACATATCTAGTTTTTTTTTTTTTTTTTTTTTTTTTTTTTTTTTTTTTTTTTTTTCGTTCTTGATAGTACAACAAAAATATATAAAAGACTTGAGATTTTATTGAAAAAAGGGCAAGAGTCGAAGATATAATACATGACAAGTTGGCTAATTACTAAATCAGACCATGTTACAATAATCTCAGCTAGAAAAATCATTCCTAAGGTCAACTCCCACTGTAAATAAATAACCAACCACGAAGCTCAATAGCTCTTTGCCCTACAACCATATCTATATCCTAAACACCAATTTTACCATGTTGGGGGAAAAAATAAATAAATATTATCTAAAAAAAAAAAAAAAAAGTTGGGTCTTCAGAGTTGGTCTCTCCACTGCATCATAACAGGCTGGCCATTAGTGAGCCCCTTCAAGTTAATCAAACTAGGGAAAGTGTTTTTGTTGCTCCCCAAACTAAGTCCATTATTCTCAATTCACAGATTATCTATGTAAGAACTGGCGTGCACCTTCATCTGTTTCAACAAAGAGGATGAAACTGGAAAAATTAGCTCAGAAATTTGATATGATTTCTTCTGTGTAACACACACGTAGAGATATATATGAGTATTACAAGTTAAAGCCAGATTAAACCAAGGACAAGATGTCCTCAGAACAGGCAAAAGAGAAACAAACGCAAAGACAAAATAAGACTATATAATACAATCAAAGACCTACATCACTTTTCCAATTCAAAAGGATCAAAGAGAGCAGATAATTCTTAACATTTGTTTGCTCATTCCCAAACAGAAGTTTGATATGCTTGTTCCCAGATACCACCATGGCATTATCGCCTCGACCCTACTCGTATTATACACCAACGCAGATATGAATAACTGCAGCGTTATTGTGATGGGGTCCAAGTTTTGAACACTCAGAACCGGTAACTGTAATTGCTTTGTTTCCAAAAGCCGTATAGAAACTTCTACCAAAATTAAAATACGAGAAAAGACGACTTTTGCACCTTAAAATATGCAAAAGAATGTGTCCTAATGTTATGACGCTTTGAATAAGATCATTCCGTTTCCTAAAGATCCTATAAGAGTGCCCATTTGAAGTCACATTCATCAATTACATGCTTCAAATGCCAAATCTGGTGATGACTTTTATTCATGTGTTTTACCACGAACTGACGATGAATGATGCAAGGAACACATTAGGAAATGCTCAAGAAGGATTATTTTGTCGCCTGCAATGAAAACTTAAAGAAGAGGGATGGGAAAAATACCACTTTCACCATCAGAAATGTCAGCAAGCTTTGAGAGTGCATCAATAAGGGCTTGTTCATGCTCCTTCAAGACTTTTTTTGCTTTATCGATTTCAAGAGGATCTGGATGATTTGCACCAAAGACCCTCTCCACCTGTCAACAATTCATCGCAAAGTAATATTATACACAAGAATAGTAATAAACTTACAATTTAACTGATAGCAATTATCCTGTCAGCTTACCTCTTTAACTAAAGAATCCGTGTTAAGAATTTTTATCTCATCTGTCATTTTTTTGCCAATGCCATTTTGTGATGGCTTTCTGGATTGGCCCTTTGCAGAGCCTCTTCCTCTTCCTGCACCTGGAACTCCATCACGGCCTGCAGGTCTATTGATCCCATGAGCGGATCCACCATAGCCCCCACGATGAGAAATTCCATTGTCCTCATCTACCCATTGAATATCTTCAGGAGTTATCTGCTGCAACAATTATAAAGAGTATATGGAAAAACATACCATTAGTGAAATTCAACAAAATACAACTAATGAGAACTAAGCTATCTTAGATGAGGTGTTCTTTTTGGAAGTACTGAAAGCTAAAGGAAGATGAGAGAAACTATACTGTGGATCTGAACCAAAATATGGTGGAAACAGCCATACCAGAACAAATAATAAATTCGTTTTATGGTTTTAAAATAGAAAAACCTATTATCTGTACATTACTACACGAAACTCTTCTTCACCCAAGTAATCAGAACCCGTGAATATTTAAATTCTTTTCTTAAATAATATGTGAAACATCTAAGCGTACTCAGCATTCCTCGAGTCACCTAGCAATTGTCAATATTGTAATTCCAGCAACCTTGAAGTGTAAGAGTAACAGAGCCTCGTTTAGAAACAAGGGTAAGATTAAAGAAATTCCTTTATGGAGTGATAGCTAAAAGAAAAAAGAGAAAAAAAAAGGGGTTTCTGGACATGTAAAGACTCGCGTCCCTTTTGTGGCTCAAAGCTTAAGAAAATAGATTTGTTGACTACTAAAAAAAATCAATTAAAAAAAAAAAAAAAACTGGACTGATTCGTCCATTGACTGAAGAATATTACGTGCTCCAAAATGTACTAACTGTAAGGTTACACACCGAAAAGAAAACTAAAAATCTTGAGATATATAGTGCGGTCATGTTAGGGATTTTATATGCTCAACAATCATATTAAGCTCAATAATGAATCGCTTAGTAGCATGAGCTTTATATAAGTCATTTCTCACGTTTGGAGTTGGTGAAAGAGTACCCAAAGATCTACAAGACAAAGCATCAGCTATACCTCTGAAAGATTAACCCACTCCCATGTCTCATTGGCAGAACCAACATCATATACTAAAGCATGCCTTCCCTGACATATTAGAGACAACAATTTACACGTGTCAACCATATGACTTTACTTCAAGCTTAAGTTATGTAAGAAAAAGCCATAAATTATGTACCTCGGCTGGATCATAGTCAGTTATAACTGCTTCATAAAAGTTATTGTCATCAGGCCATCTTGTCCTCACTTTCTTTCCAATTAATGAATCTATTGCTGCCCCCTCAGCAGGTTCATTTGCAACCGCAGAGGAAGAAACTCTATTAACAGCTTGACCCCTTCCAGTTGGACCGGAGGAAGGGTATTGCTTGACTGAAGATCCACCGGGTAACACCTGACCCAGTAAACAAAGGTAATATCAGGAAACGAACCATACATATTAATAAATTGCAAGCTTGTGTTGTATTCTACACTAAACATCACTGATCTTCACTCACAGGCTTATGTTTTTTGCCCTTGGCTCCTGGAACATATCCCCTCTTTGCTGTGGATGAAGGCGGTTGGTGGGATGCAGCAATTGCCTGTGGGTGAAATGGTGGAGATGGTGCGCCAAAAGATTGAGAAGCAACTGACTGGGAGCCTTTCTGCTTCTTGCGAGATGCAGAGACAGTTGGGCTGGGTATTGGATCATGCACAGCTTGACTTGTACCAAGCATACCAGGTTGAGCTCCACCCGCCTGTCTCCACTCTCTAATGGCCACATACAGTTCCCATTAAGAGACAGATTATAGTAACAAAAACAAAAAATATACGCCTCATGCCTCGGTTAAAGGACCAGGCTTTTTCGAAATTTATCAGACCTTATCCTCCTTATGACATCGTCTGCATTAACCCGTCCTAGAAGCTCTCTGTGCTCCTCATTTGATAACCTTAACTCTTTCCTAAGTTCCGTAATCAAACTTTCCTTTTCCTGAAGAAAATACATTTCACGTAGTAGTCATTTAAACCTGATACGAAAAACATAGATATTAGATCCGAGAAAACAAAATGAAAAAAAGTACCCAAGTAATGAGATCAGCTTGAGCTTTAAAGGCTCTTAGAACCGAACTATATGCTTCTTGCTCAAGCTGGTGAATTTGGGCCTCCATATCGGTGTCACCATACATCCTAGAGTGTGGGAGAGAACCCACAGCAGATCTTCCATTCCCGGCAACACGACCACCTCTTGGAATTCTATTTTGATGTGATGGTGGGAGATCGTCGTCAGTTCCTGCAATTTCCCCACCCCCCCCCAAAAAAAAGATACAAATCTCTGTGAGGCCGGAATTTAGCTACAATCTACAGAAAATGGAGCCTAAGAATCTAGCTATCAACAAGATGATTTCTCAATAGTGAGGAAGCGCCCCCATTAAAATTTTGAATTTCAATTTTTTGTATGCTATGTTTAAAATATTCTCAATTATGCCCTTACTAAAGACCAAAAATGGTTATTGTGCCCCCACTCAATAATAAAGATCATAACCATGCCCCACTTAATTAAAGCAAGGCCCAACAGGCCAATACAATAAACTCACTATTGAGATCTATAACGACTTTTGAGACCAAATTTAGTTTAATCAATCTAAAAGAATTGTAGGTTTCAAATATTTAGATGGACGAAAAATAAATAGAGCAAAAAGCGAGAGAGACAAAGAGTAAAGAAATAAAAATAAAATACATTAAATTGCAACCCCTGAAAAAAAGAATTTAAAAAAAAAAAATTCTTGCTCCGCTATTGCCTAATCAGTATTAGTAAGAATGCATGAAAATGGGTTCAAAAGTTCTATCAGAGATGTCTAACATCTTCAGTAAAGATAATGCCCAAAACTATAAATCTTATACTACATAAACAAAATTGCAATTCTTTTGGACATATTTTGAGAAATTCAAACTCCCCCCTCCAATGGATAAAGCAAAAATAAGATAGTTTTTAATTTCATAATTCCTAGTTTCTACGTTCAGAAAATGAAAAAAACCCAGCAAAAGCCCTCAAATTCTCAATAATTTCGAATAAGTCATCTAGAAGCAAACTTGCCCTTAGAGTACATTCAACTCCCTGCATATATGAAACTTAATCTAAACAACAAATCCCCTATTGTGTCACGCAATTATAGACCGTCAGACCTTCGTCAAGCTCTATTTTAAACACACCATCTATTATTATTATGATTATATGATTTTACTGTGATTTGATGATCCAAAACTGTACAATAACATTAGGATCCTACCGCAGAATCTTCCAAATATGTTTCTTTTTTGATAAGTAATCCTCCAAATATGTTGAATAATTGTACCTTATGCCCCAAAAACTAGGCCTGAATAAAAAGGGAATTAAAAAAGTTTATGCCTTTATGCAGTCTGATTTCTGAATCAAATAATCTTGAAACTTCTCAAAACAAAAATAAAAAATTTGTTTCAACCTACGAATTTTCATTGAAGAGGACAAATTAAACACAAAAAAACCTCTCTTTTACTCATTGGGAAGAGAGTTATTTCTTCAATATATCCAATTTCCTTCATAATTCAGCAAACTAGGAAAAAGAACCAACCCTAACCCTAATAATTCATGGAAATCGAAAAGGAAAAGAAATAGAACTTGAAATCACGATTTGTGAAAATGAGAGTAGTGAATTGAGAGATTGAACTCACCGCTGCTGTCGTAGGGTTCGTAGTCCATAGCCAGTTTGGATTGATTAAAGCGAAGAATGGGGATTGCTCAGAAGGAATTTAAGCTCCGATAATCTCTGAAGAGAAAGTTCTAGACTTTTCAGGAACGGGATTGAAACGGCGTCGTTGAAGCCGGCGTGGGGGCTTCGCCGGGGGAGAATGAAAGTCTAAGAGAGAGAAAGAGGGGAAGAGAGAGAAGTGGTGATCGGAGAGAGAGAGAGAGAGATCCCAATGGTGATGGTGATGGTAATACTGGGGCAAACACAAACAAAACAGTAAACGCTCTACTTTGGAGGGCGGCTTTCGTTAAAAAATAATAATAAACAAAATAAATTAGACAGTTGCATCTAAACTTTTTTATTTTTTATTTTTTATTTTTGCATAATAAACCTTAAAGTTTAAACTTTTACAGATCGCACTCTAAATTTTCTAGTCAGTATTGAAGTCTAATAACTTACAAAAAAATAATTAAATTGATAGTTCGGAAAACGAAATTTACAAGTAACCTTGTTTGAAAAATGATGAACTTTACATTTTATGTGTAAATCGCGGGGCTCGCTCATTAGTTCTTTAGACTTCAATCGCTATTAATTTGAAAATTTATGGTGTAATTAGTTAAATTTAAAAGCTTAGGTGTATAATGCAAAAAAAAAAAAAAACGAAAAAAAAAAAAAAAAAAAAAAAAGTTTAAGGTGCTGCAATGTAATTCTATTCAATTCTCTATGTACACGGCCAAGTATTTATATTTAAAAAAAAAAAATTGAAAAAATTATCTGTGAAAAACTTCTCATGTTCCCTATACTTTTACACTCATGTGTTTCTATATTTAAAAACTCTTCTTTTACTCTAAACTATAAATTAGTCTCACTAATCCTTTTATTATAATTTCCTTATAAAAAATCATAGAAGAATTTCAATGAGAAGGTTTAAGATTTTATCTCCTGTATGTAAGCTTGAAGATGACTGTTTTATCTCATTAAAAAAATTATACACTTACAACCTAACTAACTACATAGCAAGGAAAGTTATTCCCCCACCACCAAAAAAAAAAAAAAAAAATTTAAGAAAACAAAAACATTAGTGTTGCTCATGTGATAAACGAGTGTTAAATTGATCCGTTATATATGACCTAGAAGAGCATTGTTTAATATCATGAAAAAAGTACTATAATAATTAACTATAAGATAACTTAACTTACTACGTATAATAGAAACTTATTCGTTATGTTCAAAAAACAAAAAGAAATAATTGAAACAAAGTTAGTGATGTAAATATAATAAACGAGCGTTAAAGATGATTCCTTTTATGTCAGCTAGAAGAGCAATGTTTCATCTCATTAAGATAAAAGAGTACCCACATAATTAACTATAAGATAACTTAACTTACTACTAGCAAGAAAAAGTACAATTAAACAAAACTCTCATTTTGCTTTTACACCCATGCATCTCTATATTTGAAAAAGTCATTTTACTCTAAACTATAAATTAGTCTCACTAATCTTTTTATTATAATTTCCCTTTAAAAAATCATAGAAGAATTTCAATGAGAAGGTTTAAGATTTTATCTCCTTGAAATGGGAGAATTTCAGTACCCTTAGAACCCGAGCGCTCCACAGGCAATGCCAACCTATAGTAATTGTATGAGTCCTTCATTAAAAAAAAAAAAAAGAAGTTTTTACCTTTATTAAAAAGTTATTAGGGTTGTTTTCTTGAAGATTGTTGTTAAATCTATGTTTATCTCTTTGTTTGAATGATTCGTATTGTTTTGACGAATGTTCAACAGCTGAGGTTAAATAAGACTAATGATGTGAAATTTGGAGATTGTGAATTGGGAACCCGTAGCCAAGATCAAACCAAAAAAGGGGTTTAGAAGTTAAAATAAATGAATAGAAAAACAAGCACAAAGGAAAGAAAAAGAGTACAACACAAGGAACCGCTTACACGCCAACCAAAATACGTCAAGATTTAAGAACAAAATAAAATTAAATGAAAAGAAAAACAATTATTTTTTTATCAAACAAACGAGATAAGCAAAAGGTATACACTCGCAGTTTTGATGAGCGTGTCGTTGATGTAAACTTTCCATAGAAGATAAATCTACAAAACACAATCACTCAGCAACACAAACTAGGCCTTACACAGCCACATAATTTTAGTTATTCCCTTTTCAAATTTCCCATAAAATACCACTTTATCACTTCCAGATGGCCTCAGTTAGAAACCAGCCCATCCAGCCGGTTGGGAAGCTGGTTTGCTCTCCATAATCTTTGCCTCGCCGGTGTGCTGAGAATTGTTTCCTTCAGCCAGTGATCTCGACATTTGAGAGCTCCCGGTAGGAATGGCAGTAAAACTCTCAGTTCCAAAACCCCAAGAGTCGAAACCACTATTTACTTGAGTGGCCTGCTTGTTCTGAGGCCCATTTCTTGTTCTGACAGATTTGACGGTGTTGCTCGATGGAGGAGGTTGCTGCGGCTTGGGTTCCTCTGGAAAAGCTTGCCACATCCTTGGCTTTGGGCTCATGGTGTTGCGGCTATCTTTCTCTTGTTGGAGTTCCCGAACAGTGCCTTCTATATTGTCCTTCTGCTGTTAATGGTGATAAATAATATCAGAAAAATGAACCGAAACTGATCAGGACTAAAGCAGTGTGTGTATAGATTGTCGACAAGGAAAACTACCAGGGGAGCTGCAGATGGCCGAACTCCGGGTGAAGTTTGATTTCTTGAAGTGTCCTTGTTCGGCGATGGAGTTGTAGCAGCAACTGCTTGCTTAAGTTCCTGTATCTCCTGTCTCTGTGATCGACAAATGGTAGATAGCTTTTCGAATTTCGAAGTTATTTCAGCCTTTTCCAAGTTAGCTTCCTTAAGCTGCCCTTTCAGTTTCTCCAATTCAGCCTCTAAGGCTTGTTCCCTACTTGATTTGTTAGTATTACTAACTTCTGAGCTGAGTTTTCTGGTATCAAATTCAGCAACAAATGTGTTGAAGGCCCCATCTTGGAAAGCTGCCGAGCTCCCGGCATTTGATGTCTTTGGCCTCTCAGTGAAGTGATCTGTATCCTTTTGGAAGAAGCCTACGTCAATGTCCTTTGAAGGCCCGTATGAATTTCTTCCTACAGTTTGATTCTCTGGACGAACTATATCATGCCTCATAGTACCATGGCTAATTGGTTCTTCATCAAATTTTGGTTCGCTCTTGTCTTTGGCTACAAATGATTCCTTTGCATGCTGTGTGAACCAGAAAGCACCAAGCTGCCCTCCGCCTCCCCCTGCCTTTGATGCAGCTGAATGTTGTGATGGATCTCTAGTAGGTTCTCCAGATGAAGGCGGGGGTGGTGGGCTCCTACGAGGAACCGGGGATGACTTGTTTGGAAGCCTTGAAATACCTGCTGAAATGTAATAAAGAAAAGACATGGCATTGACGGCAAGGTCGGAACTCAAACATTTAACTTTCATGATTCATCTCATTTAAATGAGTTTTCAGCATTTAAAATTTGCCAAGCGAGTGACAACAGAATTTGAATGTCAAGTTGAGGTTCATCACAGGGTAAATAAAATAAAAACAAAAAGCAAACACGAGACTTTAAACATTACAAACATGAACAAATTTCTTTTTTCAACTTTATTTTCTTTTCCTGACAAAATAAGCAGCATCTCTTCTACATCTTAAAACAAATAATCTACAACGTTTATCTAAAGCCTGAACTGAGTTCAACATTTGGAAACCAAACTAAAATCTTGTATCAGACAAAGAAGTATAAATGCCATCAAGTACAGTTTCAGAGTATATGTAAAAGTTTCGTTACCTTCATGTATTTCACTAGAATGCATTTCAGGTGGCCCACTGGGTAAGGACTTTTGTAAACCCACAGGTAACTGCTCATTGACACGAAACCATACCTGCAAAATAGAATTCAAAACATCAGTTAAGAATGTGAAGTCCCTCGACCTATGATCACTATTGACAAATGTCTAAAACTAACCTAAATTGATGGAGATGAAGGGCCAATCAAGCAAAGCGCTTGCCTGCGTGATATCTGGTCTGTCATCTGGTGAAGCTTGAAGCATGTCTCTGATAAGGTCTGTAATTGACGAGCTGTATATTGGCAACTCCGGAATGCGATAGTTCCCATTCAGTATTTGCAGCTTTGATTCTCCATCAAATGCACTTTTGAAATAGCAAATGCGAAAAAGAAGGCAGCCAAGGGCCTACAAAGAGACAAACTAACCTCAGTTCTGAAAAACTTTTTAAGAGAGGAGCTATTAACAATAATTTAGCATGGAACTAAATTCAAATTGACTTACCCAAATGTCTACCCTCTCGCTGATAATTTCTCTTCGGAATAGATCCCACATCTATGTGAAAAAACAAGGAGAAAAAAAGGAAAAGTAAAGATGCAAAATATTGAACTCTTTTACCACAAAACAACATAGATGTGCATTCTCAGAGGAGTTCATTCTTAAACCTCTGGGGCTCTATAGGCAGGTGTAGTGTGCTTTCTGATATTGTCTTCTTCAATGCCCATTTCTTCAGGCTTTTCAAACCGCTTGTGGTTGGTAGAGGTGCTTCCAAAATCACACAACTTCCATGATCCATCCGAGCCCAAGAGAATATTCTCAGCTTTCAAGTCCCTTAATATATCCAAAAACAACTTGAAATTAATCACCAAAACTTTCTCGGCATACTAGAAAATACATAGATGAATTTCTGAAAGCAAGCAGGTGAACAAGTGAATCTTCTTCCTTTGAGTTCACCATTTCTTTCTCTTGTTTCTTTGGCAAATGGGAACATAGATTATAATGCTCAAAAATATAAATCACCACGCATATACATCTTAACCAAAAGGATATAATCTGAAAGGTTTCAGGGATCACTATGTTCTAATGCATATAGTTTAATTAGAAAGAACTAGGATTAGTTGACAAAATTGGATATAGTATTCGACTAAGTTTAGTTATTATTTACTGTCAAGCAAACAGGAAACTTGTTCAGAAACGAAAATTGAGCCACCAATATTGTGCGAAATCTATCAATGAATGGCCAAAACAACTTGAACTAGTGCAGTTTAGTAGTTTACAGGCCAGTACAGTTATTAATTGCTATGTAACAATCAAGAAATTTGAATCGAAACAGAATGTCAGCAAGCAATACTATGTCAAGTCAACAGTAAATGGGCTGGAGAGATGATCTCTTCAAGTGAGAGAGAGAAAGAGAGAAATGAACGACCGACTAAATTTAAGTAAGGACCAATCAAGTACTTTCAGCACACCTGTGAGCAATAGGGGGAGACTGGCAATGCATAGCAAAAACTGCATTACACACATCTCTGAAGATTGAAAGGACCTGTTTCTCATCAAAGTACACTGATCCTCTGCTTTCCAGCACACTGACCAGAGATCTCTCACAAAATTCCATCACGACGAGTGCTTCTTTCGTCCGCCCCATATCCAAGATGGTATGTGCATGAAGTGTGACAACATTGGGATGTCCTCGCAGAGCCTTCATAACTGAGATCTCTTTCACTACCAACTCTAATGATTCATCGTCATTGCATATAATGTGCTTTAAAGCATATTGCTTTGACAAATGCACAGCATCGCGAGCTAAGTAAACACAAGAGAACCCGCCCTCAGCAATCACATTCTTGACATGTAGTTTAAGATTTCCCACATCGACAGAGCGGCCTTCGAGTCCAGCTGATTCCTTTTGCATAAATGGTTTGAATTTCCACATGACTGTAACAATTATAAATACCAAATGTAACAAATCCACCGACAAATATCAGTACCAGTTTGGCAGTGATCAAACACTCCACATCGAAATTCAAAAAACAATCAAAACACTGCACCAATAGAAATCGAAAAATGCTATTTATCACTACTAGGGATGAAACCAAATAAAACCACTGCACCGATAGAATCAGAACACTACGGGGGAAGCAATGACCACATATGTGACTATTACGGCCACACAGCAGAGTGAGACCCAATTCTTTTACTTTTTTTTCCATCCTACAGCTTTTTTTTTTCTTTTTTTTTTAATCATCGATACGTATAGTGATGCATAATCACTAATGATGATGAATAGCAGAGCTTAAACAACAGTGTAAATTTGTAAGCATTTCGTTATATATCTAATACACACACACACACACACACACACACACACAGACACACACACACAACACATACACATCATAAATCGATCACTTCACCATTTACTCTCTTCATCCTAATTATCATTTTGCTGGAATTGTGGCTGATTCAGTCGCAAAAGGTCCAAACTTTCCTTGGCAACTAACACTTTCACTTAATTTTTCTTTAAAAAAATGAAAAGAATAATTAGATTTTCTTAAAACAGACATTCGCCCTCCATTTCACTTTTATAACCAAAAAAAAAAGTGTCAGTCCATAATAACTTGATATCTGTTCATTTCAACGCCATTAAACCCTAATCACAACATAACTTGTCTGCCTTAGATCCAATTACAACATCGATAAAAAAAAAAAAAAAATCCAAAATCCAAAACTTTTTGCTCTATTGTTCATCAATTGCTTGCAAAAAAGAAGATCCGAATCGGATTTCAGATGCTAAGAAATTCCAACAACATAAACTCTAACAACAAAGTTCATATCAAATGAGCACAAAAAAGCACACGATCTGAAAACTAAACCTCAAAGAGAAATAACAGATTCCTATCTCAAATTCTCTTCAGATAATCAAAAGATCGAACTTTCATAATCCGACCATCGAAATGAACAGCTATAGAGAGAGAGAGAGAGAGAGAGAGAGAGAGAGAGAGAGAGAGAATACCTCAATGAAATTGGAATCGGATTGGAGGTCGAGAGAGGGAATTAGAGAGAGAAAAGAGCTCTGAGATCTGAGTCTAGAGAGAGAAAGAGTTTACGTGCTGATCCAGAAACTCTGTCCCAATACTACTTTTTTGTTGATTGGAGAAGAAAAGTACATAAGAAATTTCAGATTTTTTTTTTAATAATGAAATGGAGAGATTTTGGGAAATTACGAAGGAAAGGAGAAAGTGCGAATTGCGCCGCTATATACGTTAAGCTTTAGCTAAAGAACAGAGCCTTGTTTTCTATTGAGGTGGGGTAGAATTGGGTGCTTCTAAGAGCAGAGTCTACTTTCCATTCTCGGCCGCTGGCGGATTGGTAAGTGTGATTGACGGTTGTCACGAATTCAAGAAATATGTGGAAAATCATTTGTAAATATGTTAGGTGTGTTTAGAACTCGTTTTAAAATTATTTATTTTTTTGTATGTAAATGAAAACGAAAATATTTTTAATTTCAGACAGAAATCATTTTTGTAAATGTGTTTGGTAGTTTTATCAAGAGATTATTTTCAGTATAAAAAACTCATTAATGTCTCTCTCTCTGCTTAAGAGAAGAGAAAATGAAAACAAAAAATGAAAAACGACTAAAAGTTATTTTTCATTTCTCTCTCATTTTACACTAAACTAAAAAATTGTCTTCATTTTTATTTTTTATTTTTATTACGCCAAACGCCGTTTTAAAAATATTTTCATTTTTTCTTTCTCGAAAAACGTAAAAAAAAAAAATGAGATCAATTCCAAATATGGCCGTTGTGAGAGCACGATTTAAACCATGAGTCCTGTGATAGGGCTCACAAGAACGAGCAACAGAAGACCCGTTTCAAAAGTGGATTCAAACTATATAGTTTGAATCAAAATTTAAATTTTGTAAAAAAAAATAATGTAACAGCGCTTTTTAAATTTAAATTTTGTATGAGACAAAATATTATTTAACTCATCTTCTATACGTACTCATAGATGGTTAGTATATTAGACATGTTCCATGTAAATATATGGTTTGTAGATGTCAAGAAGAAAATGGCAAGCATTTTTAGGTTAACTAAATGTTCTTTTTTTTTATTTTAATGATTGAAGGTCGTTGGAAGAATGACGAGTAAGATAGATTGAAAAGAATGCAAATATAAAAGATGGAAAAGATTTTAGTCATCTCCAAGTTATTTGGTAAGAGTGAAAGAGAAATAAAACGATCGGTGATTGTTATTTTTACTATATTTTTTTCACAATTTATAAATATATATTTTTTGAGGTTAAAATAGCCTCGTACACTTGACTTTAATACATTTCTATAAGATTTTTTTTATTAACTTTTTTGAAAAGAAAATTATATAGGAGCGTTTGAAACTCGTTCTAAAATGATTTTTTTTTTTGTATAAAAATGGAAATGAAAACGTTTTCAATCTCTAACATAAATTATTTTTAAAAATACGTTTAGTAGTTTTATTAAGAGATTATTTTCATTATAAAAAAACACATTAATGTCTCTCTCTGCTCGACAGAGGAGAAAACGAAAATAAAAAAATAAAAAATAACTAAAAATTATTTTTCATTTATCTCTTATTTTACGCTAAATTAAAAAAATATTTTCATTTTTTTTTTATTTTTAATTATGTCAAACGTCATTTTAAAATCGTTTGCATTTTTTATTCTCAAAAAATATAGAAAATAAAAATAAAAACAATTCCAAACACGACATTACTCCACCTCACCTCTCCCCTCTCCCATCTCCTTTTTCCAATCTAATAATTGAATCACCTTCTCCTTCAATCCCTCCGTTGGTTATGAAATACAAACGCAATGGAATGAGATTTTACAATATTATGTAAAGCAAATTCATCTCACGATGTAATATAAAGCAATAATATGAGCTGGCAAATAATTTCTCGATGACCAAAAATTATGTTCTCAACCTTCCGATCTTGCTCCTTTTTTTTAAAAAAAAAAAAAAAAAGAAAAAACCAGAAAATCTTGCGAAACTAAAATATAAAAGAAACATAAGAACAATAAATACAAGCAAAGCAAATTTTTATCATTTAAAACCTTTCTCACTTCAAATTCTTGGTCAAGCTTTTCTCAAAATATCAAGATTTGCTAATTTTTTTTCAAGATCTAAAGCAATAAATTTCTCCTCTTTTTGAGCAAGATATGATTTTGGTTTCTGGCTTATTACCCGCTTTAAGGCTTTGCTCTTCAGACGAGTTATTCATTCCCAACGAAGCATTCAATTAATATTTGATATTATCAAAATTCAAAATTCTAAGCATTTATCGGAGGATTAATATTTGATGACGAAATATCATGGGTGTCTACAACATGCGGAAATAAGTTTTTTCTCAAACACTTTTCTTTCATTGTACCCAATTGTGTCCTACGTTTTCTTTGAGAAGAGCATTTTCTTCTTCCAATATTCAAGTTTGATAAAAATAAATAATGTCAAAAGTTTATTTTGTGAAATAGGAAAAAGAATTAATACTAATGTCAATGTATTCATTAGCAAAACAAGAATTATTATATATATGTACAAAGAATAAATGACATTATCGTTTTTAAAAAAAAAAGAGTAAATGGCCAATATGCCCCTTTTAAGAGCGTAAGATATGGATAATGACTTTAAAGAAGAAAACTCAAAATTCAAAAAATTAGACATCTAACTTTCTTTTTGAAAAAAAAAAAATATATATCTTTTTGATTGTAGTGATGATAAGTTGCATTCACATGGAGGATTGTCTCTTCGAAGTTATAAAATTATGAACCTGTTTCCTATTTAAATTTTGAAAAAAAATTAAAAGAAAAATAAAGGAGCTGGTGGGGGACAAAAGTTGCTTAGTCATTCTCGCAAACTAAATTAAAACGACTTCTTTGATATATACATCAGAAAAGCCATAGTATATCAAAAAAATATAATATGTCATGTGATGTTTCTTGAGTTAAAAGGTCGAAAATGACTAGTTTGGTGGGGGGAAAGGAATATTACAATTCATATATCATTTTCACGTAAATTTTGCTTCTTTAAGAATCCAATTTTTGGAATTCTCCATACTCCAAAGACAATGGGTCCAAAGACAATTGAAGGAAAAAAAAAATAAAAAAGGAAAAGAGTGAAGATATAATATTGTATACATATCTATTAATAATATGAACAAGGAAAATGCACCCAGACTCTTTAATCCTAGGTCACATGAGGGTTTTGGGGAGATCAGTTGTGGGTCAATTTCATTTATAATATTTATTTCTTATTTAGATGTGTCTATTAATACCTGTCGTTTTATATTTTATACATATTATAAATAGTAGCTGTCCACCTCAGTCAAAATTATCATGTTCATGTTAGAATTTTACTGTGCAAATAGTAACCGTAAATAGTTATGAAAATTTTCCTATAAATAGAGCTCTAAGGCTCTTCATTTTATACAGCTTCAAAAAATTAATAAAATTCTCTCTCTAGTTGTAATGCCCTTTAGAATTAAACATGTGTAATTATATTAAATTGTGAGTTATTCGTGTGCCTAATTTGATTTTTCTAATTAATCAAGAAACTTTAAATTATTTTTAGTATTTGTGATTTCACTCCAAAATTTTTTAAAAATACACTTAAACTTTAATGTATTTTCTTTTTTTTCCATTTTCTTTTTTTTTCTTCTTTTCTTTTCTTTTTCTTTTCTTTTTCCTTTCCTTTTTTTTTTCCTTTTCTTCTTTTCCTTTTCTTCTTTTCCTTTTTCTTCCTTCCCTCCCATGGCTTTTCTCTCTATTTTTCTTTCTTTCTTTGTTTCTTTCTTTTTGCGCTCTCTCTCTCCTCTAGTTCACCACCGCAGCACATCTCTCTCTCTCTCCCTTTTTCTTCCACCACCGGCCACTTCCTCTCCAAGCTCTCTCTCTCCCGCCGGCCTCTCTCTCTGTGGCTCTCTCTCTCCGGCCACATCTCTTTCTCTCTCTCTCTCTCTCTCTCTCTCTCACTCGGCTGTTTGGCCAAGACACTAAAAAAACAAACAAACAAAAACGAGAGAAATAAAGAGAAACGAGTTTCAATCACTTTGAGGTAAAGATGTCTTGAAAACCTATATTTGAATTTGAGTTATTGATTTGAGAATTTGTAATTTTGGTTAGATTTGAATAATTTTGAGTTAAGGTTTGGATTTGAACAATTATTATTAGAATTGAATTGAATATGAGTGTTTTCAGTTATTGGATTTGTTTAATTAATTGGAAACTGGTTTTGATGATTTCTGGAGAATTTATTTTGAAATTGAACTTGAATTGCAAGTTTGAAATTTTCCCTATTTATGCTGGCATACTGCCAAAATTTTTTTAAAAACTTATTTTTAAGCTAAAATTAAATGGGAAACCAAACTAATGAATTGGATTTTAATTTTTAAAGAACCCTAAACTGAATTATAAAGTCATTTGTGAAACTTAGATTTGAGTAAAGACCCACTAATAGGAAACAATTAGACACGATTAAACTTAATTTATTTTAAGAATGAGAACTATGTCCTAAAACATTACTTTTGTGAAAAAGTTAGTGGAGAAGATCAAGTATTAAAGCTTTAAGGAAAGCGGAGGTTAGGGTGACGAGAAGTTAGCCATAGGTTTGACATCTAAGAGGTATGATATTTTTTTCATATCCTTATTAGCCTGTTTTAAAGTGTTTTGGCCGTTGTAAATGTCTTTAAAATATAAAACACGTTTGATAAATAAAAGTATTTAAAGATAATAACTTGATTATTGCTATTGATCTCATAATGAACCGATTTCAAGTTTTAATGAACATGTTCTTAAGATAAGATATCTTGCGAACTGGTAAGCACGGTGATGGCCTAGACTGGATATGGAGATCGTATCCTTGGGGGCAGAACCCGAAACTCAGACGGCCCACTACGGTGGTGATAAGGCCTTGCTTTTGGTCATAAGTAATTTATCATTAAATTACTTGCTGGTTGCCTGTAAACTGGAACTTAAGTTTATTTACCTTTCAGAAAAATGTTGTTTGGTTTTGATTGATTTCTTTCAGACTTGATTATTTCATTTTATTTATTTACTTATTTATTCAGTTTTATAAACTTCATCCTACTGGGTCTTTCGCTCATTTTTCCTATGTTTTAAAATATTTTTAACCCCACCCAGGCAGCGCTAGAAGCATCGCAAAATAGGTGAGGAACTTAGTTCTAGAAGAAAGGAAGCAGTGAAGTATTTTCCTTCATTATCAGATTTATTTAAGGCATGTATTAACTATGGATTGTAAACCTTAAACATAACTAGACTGTGGTTGATGTCAGTTATTTACTTTTCTATACTTATTTATGTATGCACAAGTGTAAAACCTATGGATACCAGAGGCTGACTTTTGATGTTGATCTTAACAGTAACTGTGTTTTGTTAAGTCTGCCTCACTTTTTCTAAAAAAAAAACTCAATTTTCTTAAAATAGTGGGGTTTGTTTGGAAATACTTGAATGTTTCATATTTTAAAATCAAATTTTTGAATGGTTAACCGTTTAATCACTTTCTTAATCTTGTTTAATTTCTAAACAAGTTTCCACATCACTAACCCTTGTTTGGGGGCGTGACACTAGTTTCTCTCTGTAAAGTTTTTCTTCTTAGTTTCGCATTTTCTTAGTTTTCATAACATGTTATCAGCACGAACGTTCTATTTCGTGTACATTAATTAATTCAAAGAAAGGAGGTTCTGATCCAATTACAAGTATCTACCTTAAAGTCAAAAGAAAGTAGGTCCTAGTCCTAGTCCTACTATAAGTTTCTACCCTTATTAATTCAATGAAATGTATGTAAATATACTCTATTATTTTATATTCATAGAAAGGAAAGTTATGCCACCAACGTATTATAATTTTTATAATTTTGTCGCTATAAACCATTCGAAAGGTTTACCGAGTAGTTTGACGTGTTTGTATTCTCATAAATGGACGGCTATACCGCTTACAAGTAGTAATTTCTCATTACACTTTTTGCATGCATATTACTATTCTCATATGCTTATTATTCTACATTATTTGAGGTATACAATTGTAATTTTTATTCCACTTCTAACGGTAATATAACGGATTTTTACACCACTATTAACGACTATATAACAGCTATAAAAGACTAGGTTTTACTCTATAAAATGTGGATTTCTTAACCCATACAATTTACTTCTCATCTTCTCTTCACCCTTCTTAATATTTATCTTTCACTTCTCATCTTCTCTGCACTATTCTTAATATAATCTTCACGATATGGTGAATATGATGATGATGTTTGTTATTTTAGTAGTCATTTTCTATTTTTTACTTTTTTTTTATTGGAGATCATTCTCCACACGATTTTCAATTTTTCCTTACAATACTCATACTTGTAATATTTCCCCTTTTATTTATTAATATTACGACTAACATGTAATTTTAATTGCACTCTTTATTGAAATAATAATACTGTGGTTCTTATTATATTGACGTTCTGTTATAATTTTCACCATGTCAAATCTTACCAAACTTGAGTTCGTTGCACTTGACATCACGAGAAAGAATTATATGTCTTAGATCATAGATGTAGACACGGATCTAGAGTCAATGGGTCTAGCCGATACAACGGTTATAGACATTGGCGATAGCCTGAAAAGTTATCATCAGTAACCTATTGGGCTGCTTTACCGTTAAAAGCCAGCCATCAGACTACACAAGAGTCCGGCATTATTGGTAGCCTACTAAGATACCAGTGATTATGGAGATTCTCCAAGAATGGTTGGCGGTGCTAGTAGTAGCTTATTTAATTACTGGTCATAAACTACCAGGATACAAGATAGAAAAACCAAACTCAGAAATACATAAGATAAAAAAAAGCTAAAACTCTTTAAAAGAAAATAAAAAATAAAGAAAAAATGGAGAATTTACCCTTAAAGTGCATGAGTCTGAATCTTTATCCCTTACTCTTAATAAATACCCTTTTGTTAGTGTAATTATTTGACTAAAAAGGTTACGAATCAACAGTAAAAAGGTAAAAATCTTAATCCATACACTTTTAAAGGGTATTTGTCAAGATTACCCTCAAATAAAAAGTAACTAATGGATTAAGGTTGTGTTTTTTTTTTTTTTTTTGGATAATTGAGAGTGAGGATCTTACTCTCTCTCTATAAAAAATATTGTTCCATTACGCTATGATAAGGAAAGCAGTTATTGGACAAGCATAGAATATTACCGATAGTAATTAGCTAGGCAGGCAATGAGAAAACGCAAGTAAAGCAATATGTGAATAAAAAAAAGGGAAAAGAAAAAGAAAAATACCTTAAACGCAAGTTATGCATGGCGACAAATTCTCCATTACCTGGAAAAACGACACTATATATACGCGCCAAAGGAACTAGGAAGAATAACCGTCAAAAGCTACACAAAGCTAACTAGTAAAAAAACAAAAAAAAAACAAAAAAAAAAACCTAGCAAGAATGAGGTTTAAGATTTCTCTTCTTCATGTTCTTCTCTCTCTCATCATTCTGATAATTTTCACATCACAAGAAACCAATGTCGTTGGAGGAAGCGGAAGAATTCTCGAGAACTTTTCCTTCTCAGCTTCTTCACTCAATAGAAGTAGTTTTCCCAAGGATTTCGTGTTCGGAACTGCTTCATCCTCTTACCAGGTTTGCCCCAATCTAGTCAATACTTTTGTTTTTGTTTTGTTTTGTTTTTGCTTTTTTTTTTTTTATATATATAAATTGTGAGAAAGGATAACTATATCAGATTTTACTGGCAATTTAGTCACTATTAATTTATAAGACTTCTAAGAATATGATTTTCTTTGAGAATTTGTGTAAGGAGATTTTTACGGCAAGACTTTGAAAAAAGTTTTTATTTTATAGCCGTTAGAGTTGTATCAAAAAATGTCCCATTTGTATTTTTTTTTATTTTAATGTAATTCACCCAGATTCAACAATAACAAATTGTGTAAAAAGCCCTACACACAAAGATATTATTCTGCAAAGGGTTAAAACAATATTTGTGTCTTTTTTCTTTTCCTTTGTTGAGATTGTATTTCTTATTATCATTAATTTAATAAATTGGAATTACAACTTTTTATGAGACAAGTATGAAGGTGCTGCTAATGAAGGTGGCAGAGGACCAAGCATATGGGACACTTTCGTCCAGAGATACCCAAGTACTCCCTCTCTCTCTCTCTTTCTCTCTCTCTAAAGATTTCTTTGTAGAAATAAAAAAAAATGAGTTTTTAATATTAATTATTCTGAGAAAATGTTTGAAATATTAGTATTAAAATGAGAGATTAATTAACTATATTAAAAATATGAATAACAAAAATAATTGGCACAATCTTTTTAATATTTTGATAAGAAACAAAACAAAGGAAAAGGAGAATAATAATATTAAAAAGGCATAGAAGAAAAAATGTTAAAATAAAAATAGGTAGTAAGGTAATGCTGACTTTACTAATTGATATTGATGTTAATATGAATATTAACATAATATTGTTAGTCATTTACAATATATAATAAACCAATAAAATTATGGGTTTAGGTTTAACCATGAATATTTAAATCTAATTAATATTGCCATATTATTTCCAATCAATAAAAATGATTGACAAATGTAATTTTAATAGATTCAAATTCATAATATTTGATATATATATATTTATATATTTATATGTACTATATAAAGCAATATTAATGTAAAAGATAAAATTTATTAGCATAAATATTGTTAATATATTAATAATATCAATATAACAAGTTAAATAATAGTATTAAATTCAAAAATTTAACCAGAGAAGGTTAAAAACAATAAAATGCAATAAATAAAATAACATAAATATGCAATAATAGTGGGGAAAAGAGGTTGAAGTGTCTTCATTCTCATTTCGTTATATATTGAAGTATGAGGTATGAGAGAATTACATAATCCATGTAGAAAAATCTTGACCATTACATTTAAAATAAAAAAAAAGGAGTTGATTTATGGCAACCATTGGATTAATAGTTGAAATACAAACTCATTTAACATCATCCTCCTTCCTAGATATATTCTAGATTCTAGATTATGGAATATTCTAGATTATAGATATAGATTTTAGTTTGCTATTTTTTCTGAAAATTAAGTTGATTTATAAATTGTTGATAAAGCACTTACCACACTCATGACCATATTCTTCCCCAACTACTGCTTCAAACACGAAAAGCATGGCTCCACTCTTTTATGTGCAATTACCACTTTATCCCCATACCCCATCTCCGCCTTCACGTGGCGCTCATGCATGGTAAAAGAAGGGAAACGTGGGTCGTAGAGTTTCACATGCATGGATGTAGTTGTCATCTCTGGGAGTTAAATATTGCGAGTCACAAAAAACTGTGGCTTCGTTCACTTTGCGGATTCGAGTTGAGAGAAAAAATTAGATGTAACATTTTCTAAGAGTTTTTTACTATAGAAACTTAAAACTGAAAACTCGAATCGGTGAAATGAACGAGGCCTGTGATTATTTGTAAGTAGAAAAATGTATGCAGTATCACAATGTTAAACACCATAATTAATAGTTAATAGGTGGATACGAGCATCTCTAAAGAAACTCTTTAAATTTTAACTAAATTTTAATTAAAATAGCTAGAAAAATATTTTTGTTAACAACTTTTAGGTGAGTCACGCTAACCATACTCCATATTTTAACTAAACATAAAAAATATATTTTAATATTAATATTAGAGATAATTAGATAATTTTAGATTTGTTATTTTTGAATTATAGGTGTTTGAGTTTGAATTATTCAGTTAGGATCTTGCTTTGGATTTGTCTTTGTTTAATATTTGAATTTCTCGCGTTTAGGATCTGTTGCTCACGTTTAGGATTTGGATGTAATACTATTTATATTCGTTTTTGTCAATAAGAAAAGCATGCCATATTTTCTCTATCTCGTATCTGTTATAATTTATTGAATTTAAAATATAAATAGCTTAATTTATTGAATTTAAAATAGATATTACTGTTTGAAAGAATAATATAATAGAACAAATTAAATAACTAACCTCTTTATTGCTAGTTATATTTAGTCAGTGTGAAATGCATTATTTCAAAATAGCTAACCATTTAATTATTGGTCGGAGTCGAGAAAAACTTAAAAAAAAAGTTATATCATTAGCCGTTTTCTCTTAGTAAATCTATCTTCTATTTTTTAGTTTTTATTTTTTATTATTTTTTGGTAAAGTGGAATTTTCATTCAATAAAGCAAAGCCAAGAAGGTTAATTACAGGAAAACAACCAGGACTAGGCAATAAACACCTAGCAACTGAGGAGTAAAAATAGACAGAAACGAAACAGACAGCAAACTAAAGAACTGATAGCTAAGGGTTACTAGCAAAAACCAGACAGACAACACTTAACTGAAAACTACACATAATCCGGATTGGGAGACCACTCCATGCATTTTTTTGTCGAGTACTACTGACGCCGGGATTTGGTCAGTCGCAATCTTGCCGAAGCGTTCGATTTGAGTGGCGTCTGTTTGCAGACAGTGGCATCATGCGACTTGTTCCATTTGCAGACAGTGGCAAGTTTATGGCATGCAATTTGTGCACACATTGGCATTCATCGCCACTATGCCAGCATATGTTTGAGTGCAACTTTGCACACCGATATTCTATAACATTATTCGCGTTTTGTCCATTAATTTCTAAGGACTTATATAGCATTATTCTTTTAAGTACTCTATCTAGCTTGCAAATTATGATTGCAAAAGAGTTGGCCCTATCTATCAGCACACAATTAACATGGTGTAGCATGACATGCTACGTCATGCAACGTCATGCAAGTATGCACAATGTACATTATGCACATTATTTGGGGACCCATCTAGGCAAAAATAATTTAGGGCCTTGTTTTATAGTGTGGTTTAGGCGATAAGAGAATTACCGAACTTACTCTTAAAAGTACACGGTTTAAATTTTTAACTCTCATTCATAGTTAATATCATTTTAACTAATATAGTATTTCATTAAAAGAGTATATAATCAAGAGTAATGGATAAAAATCAAGACCCATTTGAGATGATATTTGTCTCATTTTCCCTATATTATAACAAGTCATCAATTTACCCTTCACGGAGCAAGCATGTCAATATTAAGGGACTATCTCTTGTAGGCCATCTTATTGGTAAAACTAGTTTTCTTACTATTCTGGTCAAAATCAAATCAGATTAAAAAAATATACATAACAGATAATTATGGACCTTTTTTTGGTCCTACTAGATAAACTTCCCAATATTAAAGAAAAAAATTATGGACCTTTTTGAAAAGTAGGAAGGAAATGTGGTCAAGTAATTAGGCATTAACAGATATTAATACTGGACTTTCGGTTGGGCTTTACATCTACAAGTTGATGCAGTCTTTTTTTTTTGTCATTTTTTTTTTCTTTTTTTGAGAAAGAGTTGAGGAGACTTGAGAGAACTAATTTGTTGGTGCATATGCAGAGAAGATTAAAGACCAAAGTAGCGGTGTGAGAGCCGTAGATTCGTATCATCGTTACAAGGTAGATATAGATCCTTCCCGATGAACAGTTTTAGAATTATGTTGTCAGAGGACAAGTCCTTCTAGTCGGTATCAACCTAGTTCGAAAAGAAAAAAAAAAGTTCTGAATTATGTAATGATGTCAGCCTAGCTACCTTAATTAAATTTTATGAAAATAATGTGTTATCCTGCTGATTAACTTGAATATGTCTACACATACATTTGTACATATTGAGCTCTTTAATGTCAACACTAATATAAATAGGTGCATGATTGTCAATTCTCACTTTTCTTTTTCATTTTTGGTTTTTTGTTTGTACCTACACAATGCTAATGAAGTACATAGCTATATTATATCTTCGTTTTTATTGCGAGATACAATTATATATAAAGCTAAATTAAATATCTTATTCTTTTCTAAAGTTATATTCAGTCTTTTCTATAGCTAATATCTATGTACTAATGCGACTTTTAATTGTTTAGGAAGATGTTGGTATAATGAAGGACATTGGATTTCAGGCCTACAGGTTTTCCATCTCGTGGTCGAGGCTTTTACCTAGTAAGATTAACGATATACTTTGCTCTAGATCTTTCCTCTAGCACAAAATGTTTCTTACTATTTATAATAGACTGTTTAGAAAATCAGGAACTCCAACGTTATTTTAACGGCCTTTCCATGGTGCATGTGCTAGCCAACAAGTTTAACGTAACTTTTACAATTTAAACGTTCAAATTAAAGCTCGTAAATATTTGTCATTTAATGTGCAAACTATCATATTCTTTTAAAATTCATAAGTTTATTGTAGCTTATACGACTCTAACACTCAAAGTTTGCAAATTCTAAATGCACAAATTATCATATTCTTGATACGATGCCGGGAATTCTTCTTCCCGCACCGTAAAAGTTCTCATATTTATAAATGTGATAAGAGAATGGCTTGTGTTTAATTAGAATAATGTAATTCGATTTAATGCAAGCAATAAGACCCTGAGATTTAGATAATTTGGTACCGAAATCTTAGGTAGGAATTTATAGCCCAACATATATATGTTTTACTTTTTTCTGAAAGCACATATATGTTTAACCACTACAAAAAATTGTGAATTTGACGATGCTAATTAGATGACAGTTTTATACAAAATCGTCATCAAACGTGTCTTTAAAAACATGGTAGTTGACGTGGCAATTATAGGTTTTTAAAAAACCGTCGTCTAATACTGGTATCTTTAACGACGGTTTTTCATAAAATTGTCGTTGAATCTAGTTTTTAACACAGAAAAACTTCATTTTGCGAAAATTCACTCAAAAATTAAAACTCCCGCCCACTGAGTTATTTCGTCAATCTCTCTACCAGATAGCGTCGCCACCCCAAATAGGCCCTTTCTTTCTTCCGTTCGTCGCCATTCTACTTTTGTTCGCAGCCGTTTTCTCCATAACCCCGGGAAGGACCACAAATCCGGGAAGAACATCAAGTAAATTTAATTTATTTTCTCATTTTTTTTGTATACATTCAATTAAAAAATGAAGAAAATAGCTTAGATTTTATGGGTTTGAGTATTATAGATGTTGGGTGTTTGCTGTTTGATAAAATTTGTTTATGTTGATGATGAAATTAGTTTAGATTTTGTGATTTTGAGTAATATGGGTGTTGGGTTTTTGGTTTTTGTCTTTAATTTGTTATGTACATGATGAAATTTATTTAGGTTTTGTGGTTTTGAGTAATATGGGTGTTGGGCTTTTTGTTATTTGTCTTGAATTTGTTATGTAGATAATGAATTTTGTTTATGTTTTATGATTTTGAGTAATATGGGTGTTAGGTGTTTGGTTTTAATATGTTGTTTTGAGTAATTGTATGATTTGTGTTTGGGTAAGTGAGATATTTATTGTTTGGTTTTTTGTGTAGCAATGGATAGGAAATGGATGTTTGCAAATAGGTTGAGTAATGAATATAAGGAAGGGGTTGAAGAATTTATTTCTTTTGCAAAGAATACAATGAAAGGGAATATTATTCGTTGTTTGTGTGTGCAATGTGGTAATATTAGAAGACAATTGATGCAACATCTTAGATTCATTTGTTCTGATATGACATTGACCGGACTTATCAAACATGGATATGGTATGGTGAAGAGGTTCGAAGTCCATCTTCGACGGTTAGGGGAATTGAGAGGAATGACGTTAATATATTGATCATGATCAAGATGATGGAAGTAACCTGATTTATATGATTAATGATATGGAGAAAGAATTTATGCACCGACCGGAGTTATTTGAGAATATGATGGACGATGCAGAGACATGATGGTATAGTGTGTGTAAGAAGTATACCAAATTAACCGGATTAATTAGATTGTAGAACTTGAAGGCGTCGGGTGGGTAGTCAAATGTAAGTTTCACAGGACCCTTAGAATTTCTAAAAGATACACTTTCGGATAATAATCAAGTGTCAGGTTTTATGTAAGAGGCTAAGAAAACATTGAGCTGTATGGGGATGGAATATGAGAAAATACATGCGTGTTCAAATGATTGTTTATTATATCAAAATGAATGTGAAGACTTGGACGAGTGTTCGGTGTGCCACGAGTCTTGGTGGAAGAAAGGTAAGAAACCATCCAACAAAAGAAAAGGTGTGCCGGTGAAGGTGTTATGGTACATTCTGATCGAACCAAGATTAAAGTGATTATATCAAAATCCGGAGCATGCTAAAAATTTAACTTGGCATCATGATAAGATGGTCGACGATGGCATGCTACGACACCCCACCAATTCTCCACAGTGAAAGATATTTGATGCAGAGAATCTTGAATTTTGTGCGGAACCTAAGAATGTCCACCTTGCATTGTCGGTTGATGGGATAAATCCGCATAGTAATTTTAGAAGCAAACACAATACTTGGCTCGTCATTCTTGTAAAATTAAATATTTTGCCAGACTTGTGTATGAAGCAAAAGTTTCTAATGTTAACATTATTGATTTCTGGACCTAATCAACCGGGAAAGGACATTGATGTCTACTTGGCATCGTTGATTGGCGAGTTGAGGAGATTATGGAAAAGTGAGATCGAAGTTAACGAGCGTTTCCATGATGATTCCTTCGTACTCTGAGCATTGTTGATGTAGGCCATTAATGACTTCCCTACATAAGGAAACCTATCTGGGTACTCGTTTAAGAATTTCATAGGTTGTCCTGTTTACATAACAGAGACATCTTCGATTCGGTTGAAACATGGAAAGAAGATGGAATACGATGGCTATAGGAGATTCTTGCCTACGAATCATCGATACCGCAACAAAGAAAAGCTTTTAATGGTAAAGCAGAAGAAAGACCACCTCCAAGACCTTTGACGTGTAAACAAGTATTTGAGATGGTCAAGAGCGTAAAAGTGGTCTTCGGGAAGAAGGAATGAACAAATAATGACCTAGTGATCGGACCTTGGATGAAAAAGTCAATTTTCTTCGATCTTCCATATTGGAGTTCATTGTTAATTCACCATTACTTAGATGTCATGCACATTGAGAAGAATACTTGTAAGTCGATAGTTAGCACACAACTTGACATCCCTGGTAAAACTAAAGACAGTCTCAATGTATGGTTGGATCTCATGGAATTGAACATTAGAGGTGACTTGGCTCTTGAGAAAAGAAGCTCCCGCACTTACTTGCCTCTAGCTAAGTACACATTATTGAGACAAGAGAAGAAAAATTTTGTGAATGGCTTGCTTCTGTCAAAGTTCCAGAAGGGTATTCATCTAACTTCAAGAACTTGGTGTCCATGAAAGAATTGAAGCTGACTAGCATGAAGACACATGATTGTCATACTTTGATGCAACAACTGTTGCCACTTGCATTGCATGGGATTCTAACAAAGGAGGTCAAATTTGCACTTACTAAGTTTTACTACTTTTTCAACTCCATATGTTCTAAGGTAGTAGATCTAATGACGTTGGATACACTACAATCAGAGTTGGTGGTAACCTTGTGCATGCTAGAGAAGTATTTTCCACCATCATTCTTCGACATCATGATTCATAACGGTACATTTAGTCTTTGAAGTTAGGCTTTACGGGCCAATGTACTTGATGTGGATGTACCTTTTCGAAAGGTACGTGAAGATTCTAAAAGCTTATTTTAAGAATCGAAATAGGCCGGAGGGTTGCGTCATGGAAAGCTACATAGCCAAAGAAGCTGTTGAATTTTGCTCGGAGTACTTGTCTAACGCGGAAGCAATTGGTTTACAAAATAAGGTAAACATAGAGTGAAAAGGTAAATCTACTAGTATTCCTTCCTCGGTTCCTCACGAAGCATGGGAACAAACTTATCTTTACGTGCTACATAATGCCCGTGAGGTGGAACCATTCATAGAGGTCCATAAAAATTAAATAAAGGTAGCAAGCCCAAAAAGAGGGAGAAATGAGAAGTGGTTGCAAGATGAATGGACATTTAGAGAGTGGATAAGGACACACATTTACTCCAAGGTTCACGAGTTAGGAAATGAAGGTGTATCAGAAGACTTGTTTAAGCTAGTCGAAAGCCCTTGTTGACGGTAATGAAATACACGTCATACTCAATAAATAGTTACACCTTCTATACTCGGGAGAGAGATGAGAAGCACCCGGTCTAAAATAGTGGAGTTAGTCTCCGTGCCGATACAATGCATATTTCGTTTGCAAAAGACAAGAATTCCGTATATAGAACATTGACCTACAACCGTTTTGTAGAGAACTATATTGCGGATTACGAGTGGCACTTTTTATGTGTAAGTGGGCCGACAATAATTATGTGAAGGTTGATAGTGACGGCGCTACAGTTATTGACTTTCGAAAAATAGGCTACAAGAATGATCCTTTCATTTTGGCAACGCAAGTAAAACAAGTTTTCTATACAACTGATCCCAATGATTTGGAGTTGTCCTTAGTTGTTCTCATGAAGTCAAGAGATATTCGTGATGGAGAAGGGGATGCTGATGATTGCAACTGCATTCCATCGGTGAGTAGAGGCTTGACACCCGTTGACGAGGTTGATGTTTTTGATGATGATGATTCAAATCTTGTTCGCTTAGATGTTGAATGGACATGTGTTATAAATAATAGAAAGAGAAAAAAATGATAAACTATATGTAGTTGTAATTTATATGACCATTTAATTAATATGTTGTTGTAATATTAATCATAAACTACTTTATTAATGTATTATTTAGTATTTATAATTCATTCTTATTTAGAAATTTAATATTTTGTTTTACGGTTAAAATGGTTTTGTGAATTGTGGGTAAAAAGCTAATATAACACGGGATTAATAGGCCAACCCGTGGGATAACAAAAAAACAGCTCGATTTTTTTATTTGGGAAGAGCATATATATACGGTTTTTCTAGAAAACCATCATTAAATCTCAACATTAGATGACGGTTTTATAAAACCGTCGGCTAAAATACGCACCAAGTCTATTATTGTTGAGATTAGACAACGGTTTATTAAGAAAACTGTCGTCTAATGTAATTTTTAACGACGGATAAAAACTGTCGTTATATGCCACAGACATTTAACGATTCGCGATTAGACGACAATTCTCCTAACGATTGTTAAAAACCAGTTTTGTACTAGTGTACATATCATTAAACTAAAATCTAACATGTAACGAAGATCCTTCTAATTTTGACATGTTCATATTTTTTTTGAAGGGTTGACATGTTCATTTTAATATCAATGATAATTTTTTTTTTGCGACGTGTATCGCTTCTAATTTCTAAGATTATGTCGTAGATGGAACCAGAAGTGGTGGAGTGAACAGGGATGGCATCGACTATTACAACAACCTCATCAATGAACTACTTTCCAACGGTTAGACTTACTCTTGCTCTTTCCCTCTCTCAATTCGAAACTAAAATTTAAAAAATAAAAAATCTTTCAAGCTAAAAGCCTCATTTATAGAACTAGAAAATAATATTATTGATCCGTGTAGATGTGATTACCATTCTAGTCACTAATGAAAGGTCCATTAACGCGATTGGGTGACAATTATTCACTGTATCTTAATAAATTATATTCAGTATGTAACATAATAACGTTTAATTAAAATTATTAAAAATTAATTAATTGCCATAATTTATTTCAGTTTTTAGCGACGACTTTTTTATACGTGTCGTCGCAAAAAAGGAAGATTATTTGCGACGACATTTTGAAATTTATCGTCGCAAAAAATATTATATCACGAGAATTTCATAACGGCGTATTTGCGACGCTTGTCGTCGCAAAAAAAATATGTTGTCGCAAATATATTTGCGACGACACTGTGGCGTCGCAAAAAAAGTTTTTGCGACCAATTTTTTGCGACGACATATCTGCGACGACATGTCGTCGCTAAAACAATTATTTGCGACGACACTGGGGTTTTTGTGACGACTTTTTGTCGTCGCAAAACCCCCTTTTTCTTGTAGTGATCACATGATATCTTACACATGACTTTTCATTCTGGTATCGCATTACAGTGATCCAAAATCCGTTTCTTTCAATTGGAAAAAATGAATTAAGGAAGTTTACATCCCGTGATTAAGTAATAAAAAGCTCGTATCCTTTTTTAGAATGTACAATAGTATATGAATTTTCTCTAAATAATCTATTATGGCAAAATCCAGGATTAGAGCCATTTGTGACACTATTCCACTGGGACCTTCCCCAAGCCCTTCAAGACACATATGGGGGCTTTCTGAGTCCCAAAATTGTGTGAGTTTATATATGTATCATATCATTTTAATTCCCAATAAATTATGGTGATTTTAACACTAATATAGGCCTTAATTAACAGGGATGATTTCAAAGACTATGCAGAGTTATGCTACAGAGAGTTTGGCGATAGGGTGAAGCACTGGATCCCCATAAACGAGCCACATATTTTCACCACTCGGGGATATGAGTATGGCTCGTTTGCGCCCGGAAGATGTTCTCCGTGGCTTTCGCCCGACTGCAATGGCGGCGACTCTGCCACTGAACCTTACTTGGTTGGCCACAACCAGCTTCTAGTCCATGCAGCTGCAGTTCAAGTTTACAAGACGAAGTATCAGGTTATCACTTGAAAAAGAAAAAAATAAAAACCTGAAAGTATGAGAATTTTATCTTTTATGAAGTAATTATGAAGTAAATCTTTTATTATTCATTCAATGGTAATTATGAGTGAGCAAGTTCAATTCATTCAATGGTAATTATGAAGTAAATCTTTTATTATTATTATTGTTGTTGTTGTTTTTGTAGAATACTCAAAAGGGCCAAATTGGAATTGCATTAAATGTACCATGGGTGGTGCCCTTATCACAATCCATTGCAGACCAGGAGGCTTCAAATAGGGCTCTTGTCTTCACGTATGATTGGTAAGTAATGTCTAGACACTATAGAGTCAGTTTAAAAAGTATATTCAAATCATGATTACTTTTTGTGAGAGAAAAACGTTGTCGCAGAATTAATGATTTAAATTTGAGTATATGAAACAAACGGGGCCCTAAGTTTTTGCTATAGTTTTTTTCTCAGAAAAATTCAATTTCAACTTTTTCTATTACGGCGCATTCTCTCACATGAATTCACTTTTTAAACTCAAATTCTCAACTTAAACGAGTGAAACGAACGAGGTCTAAAATACACCTCCAAAATTAGGCTAACAATGGCTGTTTGATCGAATTTTCAGGTTTATGGAGCCACTCAAATCCGGCAGTTACCCGGCCGAAATGACAACATACGTCGGAGAACGACTTCCGAAGTTTTCGGAAGAGCAATCGTCGATGCTAAAAGGATCTTTCGATTTCATTGGTTTGAACTACTACAGTGCAAGTTATGCAGCGAATGGCACTTGTAAGAGGATAAACCCCAGAGCCTCCACAGATTCTTGCGTCGTACATTTGAGTGAGTTTCAAATTTTAATAGTTAAATTAATTAAGTTGAAACTGTAATATTCTACGTTAATTTATGGTAATAATTTACTAATTGTTCACCAGGTGAGCGTAACGGGACTACGATTGGCCCAAAGGTATGAATATATTTAATTGACATTTTTTTTTCCAATAAACTGCGCAAGAAAATAACTGATATATATCATGCATATTTTAACCAAGTGTGCTAATTAACTTGTTTATAATATCTATAACTAAGTAGGTTAGTAGTCATTTGTTTGTTATATATATATATATATATATATATATATTAATATAACTAGTAGGACGGACTAAAAAGATTAAAAGGTCCCACCTAATTACTACGAGTGATTTTTATTTTTTGTTTTAATTACAGGCTGCCTCAGATTGGCTCTATATTTATCCTAAAGGAATTGAGGATCTTTTGCTGTACACAAGGGATAAATTCAACAACCCGGTCGTTTACATTACTGAGAATGGTAAATTAAACATAGTAATCCTTGAAGAACAGTAATACTGTCAGTATTAAGCACCAGCATTACAAATAAGTTAATTATCATACCCGTATTTTTTAAATTTCTCTTTTTAATCTATGCATTATTCAGTTAATTTGTTCTTAATTATGATTAAGTAAAATGTGATAAATTAGATAAAACTTCGTTTACTATACTAGTATGCTCCCAATTCCTCGCCTAATTTCAATGTAATATATAATCATGTCCAATTTTAACAGACAAAATTGATAAGAGATTGGTATAATTTGAAGGGATACTTCTGTAATTTTCAAGAATACAGGGTTGAATGTGATTTTCACCCGAACTTAAAGGGGGATTTATAATTTTCCCTAACATGATCATCCATATATCAATCAGTAGTAATTCGGATGACTAATGAACTGTTTAATTTCTTTTCCTTTTTCTTTTAATGAACCGAGAAAATTTGAGTAATAATATATTAAGTATTCTTAGCATATTCTAATTAAGTTGATGTACAGCCATTAAAAATTATATATCGAACGTTTATTCACTCTAAATTAAATATCATAAAATTAATTAAATCGTATTAAAAAAAAGTTTACCAAAAAAGTTTACTCTAGCACATTCTAACTAAGTTAACACCCATTAAAAATTCTATATCGAACGTCCATCTGCTCTAGATTAAATATCATAAAATTAATTAAATCGTATTACAAAAAGTTTAGCAATATTTGATCCTCATTATAGTTAGTCTAAATTTATCGCAGGAGTTGACGAGCTTAACAATGGCCAGTTGTCGCTGAACGACAACATTAGAGTCAACTATTATGCCGACCATCTTTCATTCGTTCAAAGGGCCATAAGGTAAGAAGTATTTGCTTTTAAAATAGTCGTGTGTAGTTCTTTTTAATTTCAACTTTGCAAGTTAATTTCTTGTCTGAATTTTAGGAGCTACAAAGTATGTAAATAGAAAAATTAAACATTTTTTATATAGTTATGTTCATTCGTTCGTAGTTTTGAATTTATTTATATTTATTTTTTAAATTATTATCACTTGTGTCCTTAAATTTATGGCCATTTTCAGTTGGCACCGAGAACTTTAAAAATTCTCATTTTGTCATATGAATTTCGAATTATCTCCCCTGAGCCCCTTCTTTTGTAATTTCTATTAAAGATAGAGAGAAAAAAAAGAGTGGTAATGCTTTCACAGGGTCATTCTATTTGAAATATTTCTGTTAAAAATAAAATATAAAACTTAATTGTCACACTTAACTCTTCCTTTTTTGTCAGATTTTAATAGAAATTCTTACAAAAGGGCTTAAATAAGACAAATTCAAAGTTCAAAGAGTAAAATGAAAATTTTTAAAGTTTAGAGAACAAAGTGGTAGTGACCTCAAAATCTAAGGGGTACTAGTGATATTAATTCTCATTTTTAAATTGGAAAATCTCTTTATTTTATAAGATTTGATAGTCTTCAATTGCTTCTCAATTTTATAATTGTAATTTGCATTTATATAGAGCCTCATTGAAAATGCTACTTACTAGTGAATCTTCTCTCTTCTACTAGTCGGTAAATATACGTATAGAGACATCGCCGAATACGTTAAATTTTTGTGTTCTCTTGTACCTTTTACTTTTCTCTGTCATTTTTAACAGTATATACATATATGCATACATACACACATACATGTATGTATGTATATATATGTATATGATTGTATATGTATAATCGCTTGAACTTTTTGTAGGAAAGGAGCTAACGTGAGAGGGTACTTTGCATGGTCATTGCTGGATAACTTTGAATGGGCAGATGGGTACACAGTTCGGTTTGGGATTGTGTATGTCGATTACAAAGATGGGCTGAGAAGATATCTGAAAGACTCAGCTAAGTGGTTCAAGCAATTTCTCCTTTAGGTTAGTTATTTTGACTGTAATAATAATGCTACATGTCCACTAGTAATTTGCAAGAAAATTTTATGCACGTGAACACTCTTTTGTTTTTAGTACCCTTGTCAAATATAGTACATGAATTTATTGAGTACTTTTAAACATTACAATTAAATTATATAAATGATTGTCGAACATTTACAATGTAGCACACATGTAAAGAATCTTGGAAATAACTACTGAATTGGTACGGTTTTGAACTGAAAATTCTGAACTCATATGATTTAAACTGTTATCTAAATTTTTTGCGTTTGAATGGCTGTTTAGATAGTACGCGTAAGAATTGTGAGCAAATAAAAAATAAAGCCATAATTTTATTGTATTAAATAGGTTTAAACCCATGCGAGTTTTTATTTTAATGAGTTCAAAAAGTTTGATCTCATGACAGGTTGAAACCTTTGTTTATTTAAAAAAGTAAAAGATGGTTTGAACTCTTAATGCAACATTTAAATTATTCAAAATTAAGAGTTTTTAAACTTAACCCCCTATATTTTTAAGGTTTGAACTCAAAATTTAAAATGCACTTTTTATTTAAAGCCACATAATTTAAACCAAAAAAGTTTAAATCACACAATTCAAACATGCATAAGTTCTAAAAAACAGGTTTTGTGTAAACATCAAGCCAACTTACTCAAATACATATCCAAACGTCAATTTGAGCCCACGTGAACTCACGAATTGAGCACACTACTTAAATGCTTTCCCACTTATGGAATTTAGTGATAACATTCTTGGGCTTCCGGTTTATCGTTTTTGTAGTTATGTTGTCGTTGAGGGTAGTTGCGCTCAAGATTATATATGTACTCTTTTTTATTTCATGGATTATGGTAAAATATTACTAATTATGTTGAATATATTATATACTATTAGAATATTTTGTAAATAGCAACGACTAATATCATTACGTGATTTTTTACAATATGAAACGCGAATATAATTATAATAAGTACTATATAGGTAATTCTGCAACTCTTAAATATTTTTTAATAAATTGTTATATTTCAACTCTACTATTATAAATTTACCATGTATTGTAATTTTGACCTTTTACCATAAAAAGGCTTATAATGAATTTTGTGTTTTTCTCTTCCCTCTAAACAAGTACATCTTGTGGTTCTTCCACCCAATTGGATCTTTAGGCTCTAGTTTTGAGCATTAACTTTGATTTATATGTGACTTAAATTTTTTTCTTTCTTTTTTAATGGTATAATTACGTAGTGAGTTTAATAGAGAGGTGAGGATTTCTACTGACCTTTTGGGATGTGCAAATTTTTCTTGGTGTCAATTGTATGCTCTTTTATTCTACTTTTAATTTTTAATTTTTAAATTTCATGACATAAAACCATGTTTAGTTGAGTTGTACACATTGGTTTTTGATTTTTTCTTACTTTCCCGAGGTGAACATTTGCTTAATTTTCCCCAAGAAAACAATACTAATCGAAATTGGTAATTTAAAGTGCTTGAGTAAAGTAGCATGATGTTAAAGTATAAGACTATTGTTAACCCACCTTCTAATAGTTTAAGTTTTTGGGATGGATTGGTAAATTAACATGGTATCAGAGCGGGATGTCTTGAGTTCAAACCCCCGTAATTGCACTCTTTATCTCCATTTAAAATTGTCATCATGTGTTGGGTCTTTTATATATCTCGGGCTTAAATATTCACGTGTTGGGCTTTTCAATTAATTTACTCACACGATTGCCCATTGTCCAGTCCACACGTGAGGGAAAGTGTTAAAGTATAAGACTATTATTGGCTCACCTCCTAACAACTTAAGTTTTTGGGATGGATTGGTAAATTAACACACGAGTTGAATCTCTTGGAAGTTTATTCTGAACAAAAGATACTCCCTTGCAAGTTTCTCTATAATCAAGTGAACTCTCTTGCAAGTTTATTCAGAAACCGTTTCAAAATACAGAAAGCTCCGTATCATTTTTTTTTATTGTAATTAGACGACGCGATTTCTTGAAAATTATTGCCTATTTAGAGTTATTAAATTTCATATCTGTAGCAGTGAGTTGCCGCGAAAATTGTTGGGTCTAGAATGGGGGAAAAAAAAAATATTAATACACAACTTGTGGAGTGATAGGTATAAGAGAAAGGACACTGTCACAAGCATGTGTTTCACGCCATATATATATATATATATATATTTGACAAATGTGTTATAGAGAACTTCCTTTTTTGTTAGTTAAAACTGTAAAGCAGGACTTGAAGCTTTCAAAGAAAAGACACAAAGTAGGGACACACTTTTTGCCCTTCCACCTCCACAAAACTAAAAAAGTTTTGATATGTCTACTTTCGCACATGGGTTCGATAAAGGACTACTAACTAGTGAACAAAATATCTCGACCATTTTTCAAGTTAAGATACTTTAAAAAAATCTTTGTACTAACAACCCATTTCAACATCTTATAATTGACCATTTCAAGGACTAATCGAAAACATGGTCTATTTTTATTTTTATTTTTATTTTTTTTCAGAACAAGTCTTCGTTAAAAAATCAATATCTCGACAACTTTTTAACTTTGGATACCTTAAAAAAAAATCAAGAAATACTTGTCACATATTATATTAATTCTTAGCGAACGATCTCTCATATAATTTATCTGCTGGTGATATTTCTCATGGCTCCTAGCCTACAAGTAGATTTTATAATGCTCTTTTCCGAGCATATATATATATATGTATGTATAAATATTGACCTATTACAAGGTTTCAATTATAAAATCCTTTGTTCAATTATTTTACTAACGACATTGCCCCACGAGAAAAAAGAACTTTTTATATGGGTGATTTTTAAATCTCAGCCTCATCTTAAAATCATGAGGTCCTACCAAACATAAGTTATGACAAGGGGGACAAATAAATTGTGGATAAGATGGTACTGAATTGCTTTCTTGAGCTACGCACTCCAATTATCGGAGTCCGATTAAAAATTCAAACTCATTCGGTTGAATAGATTTTATTTTATTTATTTTATTTTTTATTTTTTTAAAGAACTTCAGTGGAAGATTTAAATTCTACATTTTATGATAGAATCAACAGTGAAATTACCACTATGTTATATCTACAACCACCCGATTTAGTACAAGTGACCATGTCGATACAAATAAAATATCGTTATATGAATTATACAATTTCGTTTTTTAATAGAAAAAACAAAAAAAAAGATTTTCAAAATAAAAATAAAAAAACTATAAAAAACGGTTCTAGTCTTGCACGCTGTACACACGAGTTTAATTAACTATTATCTATTAGGTTCATTAGCAAAACTGTTATCAAGTAATTCGCATTTGTGCACGTATGTAGTCCTAATTAACTCCTTGTTGTTTTTCTTCTTAAGACAAACTAAATAGTGTTAGAATAGGAAAAAAAGTTGACAATCCCGATCAACTAAATATATTAAGAAAAAAAATCATGCAAAAGGATAAAAAATCCATTGGGCTAGGATAAAAAATTAAAGATTCAGTTTACTGATAGGGTGAGCATGATTCTAGTTTCTATAATTTCTTTGAGGGTTTTGATGTGAAAAATGATAAATATAGTGTTAATTTTTGTAACTATTAGCAATTAAAAATTTGAATTTATTTATATTAATGATCTAATTTCCTTATTTTCGTTATTTTAGAATATTTGATAGATTTTGAAATCTCTTCAAATGCATTGTTGCATTCAGATACTATATAATTGAATTCTCTCCATGTGAAGTCTCTCTCTCATTAGCTGTGGATGACACATTGTTCGAAAACAACAATATTATATCATATATAGAAAATATTATATAGCAAACATAAATGCATCGTTCATTTCACTGATTCGAGTTTTTAATTTCAGTTTTGCTACAGTTAAAAGCTCTCACAAAAAGTCACTTTTAATTTTTTTTGCTAGAGTTAAAAGCTCTTACATAAAATCACGTCTTAGCTCGAATTAAAAACTCCAATCAGCAAACTGAATGAGGCTATAATGACTTCCATATATTATATTCAGCATAAAATATTTGTTCGCTCTATAAATAGGGGAAATTGGAATAGAGTTGTGCAACAAAGTGAACCATGTCACTACCAAAATGTTGTTTCCTCTTCTGTCTTCTACCTCTGGCTGTAAGCTTGTTAGCTTCGGCAGCCATAGCCACAAAACCAAGCACCCACTATTCTAAGCCGTTCAACAGGAGTAGTTTTCCGCGCGATTTTGTTTTCGGAGCTGGTTCATCTGCTTACCAGGTTAATTTTTAGACAAAATATTTCATATTTCATATTTCTTGAGGGACTCGTTATTTTCTTTAATTTTTTTTTTGTTTATTTTGATTATATCTAGAGAATGTGATGAAATATTAAGCTTTTGTTTGTGTTCGTTTTTGGTGTTTACAGTCTGAAGGAGCAGCGCTCATAGAAGGAAGGGGACCAAGTGTATGGGACAGTTTCGCCCGTAAACATGCAGGTATTTGTTGCGAATATTGTGTTAACGGTGTCTAACAAATAATTATATTATTTTAAAGAGAAAATTAAAAATGTCGTCATTTAAGTAATATTATTTTATTTATACTACTGTTATAAATTTATCTTATGCTATTTATAATTTACATATTATTTTTTCATAATTTGCAAGTTATTTTTAGTAACTTACAGGTTATTTTTCGTAACTTGTAGGTTGTCTTTCATAATCTGCAGGTTATCTTTCGTAATATGCAGATTATGTTTTCGTAATCTGCAGGTTGTCTTTATAGTGGCATTAAAATTTTGTGTAATGACATAAATAATAAAGTTGAAAAAAAAAATAGTTAAACTTAAAATTTTCTCATTATTTTAGGTTGGAGAAATTATCATCTCGCTTCACACTACAATCACCACCATCACATTATATACCAATAAGAAAATTTGTAATGCTTTTTAACTTACTATGATGTATTGTATGGATAACTAGAATCACCTTCAACTCTGTAATGATTCACATCTCTACTTAATATAGCATTGTTCACTTTAGGCCTGAATTTAAAGGGTTTTGCTCTTCTGCCTTTAAAAGATCTCATATCATTATGAAGTGGTATCATTCTTTATAAACTATTATCTATATCTATTCCGGATGATGTGAGGCTGCCCAATTTACTTTATTCCGAAAAACATATTTTTTCAAAAAATAATTAAAAATTTGTATATTTTTTTATTAAAAAATTTAGGATATGGACCATTTTAACACAGCTGGATCGTCTCAATGCGTTTGTTAATTTTATATATTGACAGTATTGCTTTAATTAATGGCTTGAAGTACTTTGTTATTATCTGTTCTAACTATAAAAATATGGAATGGTTTCAGCCATCGTTTTGTTTATTGGAATATTTTTGTTTAAAAAAATTTATTTTTTCAAGAATAAATTTCAATATGTAATCCGGAATAAAAATTTTCCATGTTTAATGGTAAAATGACAGATAAGATTCCTGGTAGAAGCAATGGAGATGTAGCTGATGATTTCTACCATCATTATAAGGTGCAGATTTATATAGACATTCTAAAAATAATGACTTTTAGTTTTGAATTAATTATTATATATCTTTCTTTTAACCAGCTACGTAATATAATTAGAAGTTATCAGGATTAATTATTACCCACAGTATTTTACTTTTCTCTAATACTCATCGAAATAAATTATCACAGGAAGACATAAAGTTGATGAAGAAAATTGGTTTGGATTCCTTCAGATTTTCTATTTCATGGTCCAGAATATTACCAAGTAAGTAGTTGATTAGTCTTGTCAATTGGCTTGATGGAGCTATGGCCCCATCATACACGGGGCTATATAAGTTGGTTCCAACTTCCATTGAAAAAGTCTAATCTATTTAATTACATATATAACTAATATATGATCAATTGGCAAAATAAAAAATTATATAAATTATATATATATATATATTAGAGACAAGTACATCATTTGTCATGATGTTATTTTAAATATTAGATGTTATCGTGATTTTTATTTTTTTATTAATTAAATAATAATTATTTATTTTTAAATGAAGTGATATAAATAATATTTTTTTACCATTTCGAGTGGTATTTCTGGTTTTTTTTTTCCTTATACTTATGTGGTAATTACAACTTCCAGCCAAGAGAGTCGAATGTTTCCTAAAATTCCTTCATTTCCTTGTCTTATCTTTCAGAAGGGAAAATGAGTGGGGGTGTGAACCTACATGGAGTCAATTTCTACAATAACCTCATTAATGAGCTTCTTTCTTCTGGTGATGACACACCAACCTCATTCTCTCTCTATTTTTTTTCTTTTTCTAATTACTATAAAAATATGTACAATTATTTCCCTTCATGATATTTACATACATGCATATATAATGAAAAAAGATGTATATATTTACACACACACACATTTGTGTATCCATCTATTTACTGAAAAATCCTTCCTTAATTATTGTCTTCATCTGCATACGTGTCTAAATAGGTATCGAGCCCTTTGTGACATTACATCATTTTGACACACCACTAGCGCTTGAAGATGAGTATACTAGTTGGTTAAGCCCTAAAATAGTGTAAGTGAGACACTATAACAATATTTTCTTGTCCTTACCTTTCTTCTTTTTCATAATAATCCTACTTAAAATGTTTAATTTTGTACTCTATTGTGGATTAAGTACACTAACCATCCAATTTGATTTATAGGAATGACTACTTAGATTATGCTGACTTTTGCTTTAAAACGTTCGGAGACCGAGTCAAGTTTTGGGTTACTATCAATGAACCTAATAGTTTATGCATAAACGGGTATGATATCGGTATCATGGCACCCGGTCGATGTTCAAGCTATGCCGGCAATTGTACTGCTGGTAACTCAGCAACCGAACCCTACATTGCTGCCCACCATATGCTTCTTGCTCATGCAACTGCTGTGAAATTGTATAGAGAGAAGTACCAGGTTAGTTGGAAACGGATTTATTTTATTTTGCTAGTGGGTGCCAATATAGTTGAGATGTACTAGTCTGTTTTGATATCAGTTATTCCATCTCTCAGTTTATTCAAAAAAAAAGTATGGAACAAAGATTTAGGGTGTAAGTCATTATAAAATGTATAGTAAAATGAAGTTATGTACTATAGGATAATATAGCACCAAATCAACTATCTAATCTAACTTATTAAGAAAAAAAAAATTGTTTTGCAGCCATACCAAAAGGGTAAAATTGGGATTTCCATTATATCGGCATGGTTTGTACCGAAATCGCAGACAGCAGCTGGCCATAGGGCTGCCTATAGAGGCCTTGATTTTTTGTTTGGATGGTAAGGTTGAATTTTAGGCAATTATATATCGATATACTTTACCTAATTTATATTATGCGTTATTTTTGCTGCGAAGAAAGCTGGGATTTCCCACACAATTTTAGTAGAAGTTAGATTAGATCAAGAGTATGTCAATTAATTAGATGTACAAAAAAATGGAGTTTGGACAATGTTACAATTAAGTTCCTTAATATTCTTTTTGTTTTGTTATTTGCCTAGGATTGCACATCCAATAACGTACGGTGATTATCCAATAACCATTCGATCAACGGTGGGAAAAAGACTACCGAAGTTCACAAAAGCTCAATCCAAGTTGCTCAAAGGATCCTTTGATTTCTTGGGGTTGAATTACTACACTACATTTTATGTAGAACATGCTCCTTTATCTAACGGTGTTAACCAAAGTTATGATGCAGACAGACAAGCCACTCTGACAAGTATGCTCATCCAACACAACAATATTTTTTTTTTTTTTTTTTTTTTTATAGTAAATATCGTGAGTTTTACTAAATTCGACCAGTCAAAACCGTTTTCGTAAAAATGGTCGATCGATAATTGACCACTTAGTATTGACCGATATCAGTAAGTGTTTTAACTAATATTAATCAATGATTTATCGACCCATCAACATGAATTGAATATTAGATGTGATTAACCAACACATCAATTATTTTAATACCCACCGGCCGTTTTCCTAAAACAAAAAGTTGAAAATCCTTTTCTAAAGAGGTATCCAAGCCAGTATTGGCCACTTCACCTAATTTTCTCATATATATATATATAAATAAATATATACACACAAAAAACTTCCCTGTTATTTTATACTAACGCGTTCTTTATTTGTGTTACAACAATCAGGCTATAAGAAGAAAACTCCAATTGGCACTCCGGTATAATATAATCTTTATCTCATATAATTATATATAATCATATTCTCGGACTTTAATGTTATGTCATATATATATATATATATATATATATATATTGGCTGATGTGGAGCTTATAACATGCATGCAGACTGCTTTGGTTTGGCTTTTCGTCTATCCAAAGGGAATTCGAGATCTCTTGTTCTACATAAAGATGAAATATAACAGCCCACCTATTTACATCACTGAAAACGGTAAAAGATCCAAGTTCCCATCTTGCAAATGGCACCTCCAATTTTTATTTTATTTTATTTTTATTTTATTTTTTAATTAGCTTGAAACATATTTATTTTTGATGATTTTCTTATAAACCTGCTACATATATTTTGCAGGAATG